AAATTTAGGTATTTTCGTTTTATTCGTGAAAAGCATCAGTTTACTAGGATTTACACCTAGTCCGTTGTTCGCGGCCCATAGGTGTTTAGGTGTGACCTTCGTAAGGAATGTTCGTTTATCAATACTTCGGACAAACAAAACTCTTGTTGGTTATACTTTTTATATTTTGCTGGTCCGTGTTTATCATAACGGTTATATAGTTGCTAAATTTTCTATGTTCGAAAATAAGTTTGGTACAGCAATAACTGAACGATGGGGTCACACGACAAGCACCATCAGAAAAAGAACTCTTTCAAATTTTTCATTAATAAACTCAGGTTCTTTCCCTCAGTCATACGATTTTTGATTGTTTTATGTAAAAAATGAGGTATTTTTAGAGATACGTTATATTTATATTCACATGAAGTAGAAGCATGGCCTTTAGATATGCGAGTTAGAGACGGGAATCCACAAATTGTCTTTAATTTGAGAACGTTTGATGTTTCGGAGTGTAAATGTTATAAACTATCAACTCTTATATAGGAGTAAAACACGCCTTTCCATACAGTCCTGTTTCATGGAAATTAGTAATTGAAAGGGCTCATTAATCCCGCTTTTTATTTAATGACTATAAACTCAAGCAAATTTACTAACATAAATAGATTCCCATTAAATTTAACAACTGGTATTAAATGTATATAAATAACCGAAGGAAGAGTGGTTCTAAAAGATCATAAAAAAAAAATTATTTATAAATTTTCTCGAAAGATAAATTAATCCGAAAGTAGGCTTCTAGATTTTAGTAGTTCTCAGCTACGAATTTTGAAGCGAATGAGTAACAAAGCCACTAAAACTGTAATTTGAACAAATGCCAGATTCCTTATAAAGAAAGTCCAAAGTTGACAAGAATAAAGTTATCAACGATGAGTTTTAATCGCTCCCACTAGGATCCGCTGGCAGATATTAAACATACTCCAACGACTATCTCAGTCAACACATATTTATACTCAACCACAAAAGGACTTACAAGTTGACTCATCTCTTTAAATAGTTCGAACTACAAACAACTTGATAAGTATTATAGGTAATTTCTGTGCTTCATAGTTCTATAATCTGCTGCGGTGCCTTCTTCTTGAAACCATGTGCGACAAGATAAAAAATAAAAACCAAATCTTTAGATTAAAGAACCCCCCAAAAGCAATTTACCTTTTTTGTACCACCCTCCTTGTGAGTGCTTTAGCATTAACTATTTGTATTGTATTTAAAGTGCTTTCACCTTAAGCACGCCTAACCACTTCACCCCAACCGATTTTCTATTTATTATTGACAATGAGTTTGCGAACAGCTGTGACTTTCTCACGCATGACTATGAAAAGCAAAATTGTGTCGCACAAAACCCGCCAACCGTCTACCCTCTATAGACTGTACTTTAGCAATAATTTCCGGTTAGATATATGGATAAATGTGAGAATAAATCAATACCATGTAGGAAAAGTTAGTTGGTGGAAAACTTCGCTATGTGATAGAAATCGCTCCGCTACACTTTTAACTGATTTTTATATAATATAATATGTACATACTTGTTTATATATTATATCCCTAATTTTTGATGCACATAAATAAGTTGATATGCCGAACTCTATTCTTTTTAAATCCATCATATTTTTAGATGATTTACATAAATTCCTGAGTTCGGAATATAAAATATTACTGTCTATTAACTCTTAAGAGTATGGTGCATTTTTCTTTCTTCTTTTTGTCATATAATATAAAGCGTAGACGGATAGTGATGTAGTGAGAGAGCTGCGATTAATTGAGAGGAAGGACACAATTTGTCAGTTTCTCACAATAATTCGTGTGTTTAACACACTTCTTCCAAAACTTATAGAAAAATCTCACTATTTATATTATCCGCAATAGTGTATCAAGCAATCCAAGCCCTTTCAACACTTTCGAGACATCTATTCACTCGAGATGGAATGAAAATTTAGTTTTTTTAAGATTTTCTGTTCCTCTAACCCATATTTTTTACCGCATTTTAAGCACTCCGGTTCAAACTTTTAGCCGTATTTAAAGGTGCGTACTACACTATAGAAAATCTGTATTCGTTCCCGATTCCGATCATCATGAAACGGTGTTGACTAATATCGAAAAAAATTACGAGTATATTTTTGAGGAAAAGAGCTTGTCATAAAACTCATTAGATATTCATTGGCGCTGGGAAACTTCAAGTTTGCTTCGTTTGTTGTATTACATCAAAGCGCTCACGGGCAACAGACAGGCTACGCTCATCAAGGCAAAACTTAAAAAAAAATCAAATTTTATAGGCCTCATGCTAAATCAACCACTCTTTTCAAATAACTTACTCCTCCGAATCTCCATAAACTGATTTCCTATAGGGTCTTTTACACATACATATGCCTACATACATTCATTTGCACACATGCTCAGAATACTCGTTAGTATATTGTTAATGTTCAATTATAATAAAAAACTGTTTATCATTGATTCTATTAAGCCATTTTTTAACGCTCAGTCAATTGAGTAAAAGCACTGAAGCATTTTATTATCCACTTGATTGGCATGAAATCAACCATAACGAAAAATCATTTTTCAATTAAATTCGACACAAAATATACCGCAGCAGAAAATGTGCTGGACTTAATGCAGGCGATAGAGCTAGAGCAGCGATGCTTTAACATAAATGTATATAATAATAATGTATCAATAAGTAGGATCAGGCGGTAATCTCCCAAAAAGCTGCTTACGCCTTTTTATAGTATAAGGCACAGAAAATAATTTTATTTAAAAGGTAAGCTACGGTGACATTTTAAAATTATATAGATATTTTTTTTATTTAAAAACCATTGTAATCATAAAGGCTTTCGCTTCCTGACAAATTTGCTTGGTCATACTTCCATCGAGTACTAACTGTTATATTACGAGGGCAGTTCGTAATGGTCAGTACTTTTGTATGAAAGTAAGGTTTTTCTTGCTAGTACAAAAGATTTAGTTCAATGGGTCGAATAAAGGAAGGATTTAAAAGTTCAGTTAATTCAGCCGCTAAAACCGCTAAAACCGCTAAAAGATATTTAGGAGTAGCGTTTTAGTGTCAAACCTATACGAAAGTTGATCAGTGGCTTGCCGAAGTTAAAGGCTATTAGAAAATGTTGCAATATTTTTTTAGATTTCGTCTCGACTAATTTCTTGACCCATAACCTAATGAGCAATAGTCAGGCAAATGCACACTTCTTTCCTTGTGCCTTAGGTATGGTCCACGGATTATAATAATAATCTCCATCCTTTCAGTTAAAAAGGTTCTAACAATTGCAATCCAAAGGGAATAATTCGGTCCCTTCAAGTGCAGTTAGCGTTTTCAGAACAAAATAATCATAAGACCTATGAAGTATCAGTTCTATTTGTATAGCAATAGTCTCAATAAAATGTCATTCATACTTAGATAGTCGACATTTGAAAATTTTTAGCTGTGTAACGTGTACTGATGACCTTGAAACGCGGTAAGCTACTGCTGAACTTCAAAAAAGATAGTCCTGGATCCTTGTTAGTTGGTTTTTAAAAGATCTTTTAGTGAACTAATGTCTGATGTGCGCTTACACTTCACAAACTTCATAAAAACTGCGAAATTCGCATTTTCTGAAACCGGTGCCATAAAAGTCCGATTTATCAATTCAGTCTCGTTGGCATTAGCGGAATCGAATGCTTAAACTTATGATGACTAAGTGTTAAGTAATGTGAATAGTCATTTGTTACTTGCGACAAATAATGAACTGCTAATAGCACTTTTGCGTGCGAATTACCGAGAGATGAGCTTTTCGACCTCTATTAGACATTTTCACTCCACCTCAACTCTCATCTAGTCGCACTGGATGGTTATAAAAAATAAACAATGTGGATTACAAAAGCTCATATGTATTCACACAAATTCGATTTTATTAACAGTGTGGGAAAAAGTAATGCTTGGTAAATCTGTAAGTATGCGAGTATTCGATCAAAGTTGCTTCGAAAATACATAGTTGGACCTATTACATATATTTAGGTTCAACTAAGACGAACGAATTCTAAGAGTTTTTGTTGACGCAGACCGAAGCATATTTATTGCTGGATACCATTAACTGCAGAAGCACTCTACAATTGCACCGGGAAAGAACCTTTCCAGCTCAGGCTTTTATCAAAATCTTCCGGATCCGGATCCAGACAGAGGTGGTCAAGCTCAAACTACACACACACCTTTTGGGAATGCGAAATATAGCGCTTGCCCTTTTGCTAGTGGCTTGAAAGAGCTCATATTATTTACCATAGAATACCTGTTTCAAATGTCCGTCCACATTGGAGTAAGTAGTCAAAAAATCATATATAATTTAAACAGAAGTTGAATGAAACGCAAGTAGGATTTGATAGTTATAATAAGTCACTCGAACGTAAGTTCTTGTATATCAAATGGATTGGGAAATAGGTTAGGTTAGGTAAGTCTGGAGGGCTAATAAACCACGCATAGTCCAGCTTTGGTTCTTAGCAGTACCAGACCAGTAGTGCCATTACTTAGTCTATGAGGAGTAGTCATCTTTTAGGATGACGCGAATTGCAACAGGTTCTGTGGTCTCACTAACGATACCTCTTCCATTGTCTCATACCGTGGGTCACGAATTCGGACGTAGAATGGGCATAAGTTAAGCCCGTAGTCGCATATTGAATAGCATTATTTTTCTCTTATTACTTCGATGGTTTCCGACACGGCACTTGCGAAAAGCACAAAACCCCAGAGCCCAAAGGCGACGTATTTCACTTCATTTAACATATCGACATATTAATATCCTACAACTATTCAATGGAGTCATAAATCTGTACAGAGTTTCAGCGCATTTATATGGTCATAAAATAATAAAAAATAAAACACGCCAGCTAACAGTAAACACAATCCACTTAAATAGCCGCGTATCTTTCGAAAACCACATTATTTTACAGCTACCACCAATTTAGTCGACTTCGCACGAAACATAGACATGCTGTCTGAGGTAGGTGCGTTTGGACTCACCACGGCACCACAGTTGAATACCACATTCGTTATTGAACTAATAAGCGCCATTTACGAACTGTATTTTTTCAAAAATTTCGTACTCTACATAAGTGAGCAATTTCTTGAAACTGAGAGCGCAGTGAAATTTCTAGACGAGTTCTTCACGGTCTTTTCATTAGTACCTAATGTAATTGTAGTGAGCAATGATGAAGTCGATCCCAAGGACTTTCACATTGATGTACTGGTTAGTAAGCCAGCGCTCAGTTTGGTATTCACAACAGGACCGAATGATATAGTGATGACACTAGCGGCGGAGAGCATGAAATACGTACGGATACTAAAAACCATATTCATACTTACGACGACGACGGAGTTGGATGCGTACGATGAGCATGCCGAAAGCGATTACGCCAATAGGATAAATGAAACGTATACAAAGATTTGGCGTGAACAATTTCTGAATACAATCTTATTAACAGTACGTGATAACATCTATATTCTTGAGCCTTATCCTGAGCTGAAAATTGTAAACAAAACTCAAAATTGGCTTGTGAAAGACTTCTTTATCGATTATTATGACAATCTCAAGGGTTATGTGTTGAATACCATTATACTTTACGATTTGCCACGTGTATTTGATCGTCGTTATGAAAACGGTGAGCTAAAGATCAGCGGTACTTCGGGTAAACTCTTTACAACCTTCCTGAAATCCATCAATGTGACATTAGCTGATTCGGATGTTGCACGCTCACCATTTGCGCCCGCGTTAATGGGTGATGTGATTGAGCTAATAGATAATAGAACTATCGAAATGAGTCCGCACTCACAAACGGCGCTCTACGCTATGAATCATATAGGCACAAGCTATCCGATTGGCATAAATGATTGGTGTATTATGGTGCCATTTTATAATCGTTCGGCGGAGCATCTCTACTTACTGCGCAGTTTTCAAAATTCCACATGGCTGCTCGTACTCTTCGCTGTCGTCTATATATCTTTCGCACTGTGGCTTTGCGCTCCACAACGCCCGAAAGAATATAGCAACGCGTTATTGCAAGCGATTTGTTCAATGCTTAGCATTGCACCCACAACGCTATTCAACACACTGAATCGACGCATGTCATTTTTGTTCTTTAATCTTTTTATATTGGGTTTCATAACCTCAAATTGGTATACTACAAAGATCGCCAGCTATTTGATGACTTCATTGCCGTCAGCGCAAATAGATACCATGGACGATGTCGTGCGCGCTAATATACGCATTAAAGTATTCGACTATGAATATGAGCGACTGAAGTCCATGTCTGCACAATATACCCAACGTTTTCTAGAACAATTGGACATCGTTGATAAACCATTCATGGATCAGCATCGCGATACGTTGAATACAAGCTACGGCTATAGCACACAAACAGATCGCTGGAAGTTTCTCAACATGCAACAACAATTTCTACAAAAACCAGTCTTTCGCCTGTCGCACATTTGTATGGGTCCATTTCATCATGTATTTCCCATGTATGCCGATTCACATCTACAAATACCACTTAAATACTTCATCTTGTATGCGACTCAATCGGGTTTGCTGGCATATTGGCAGAAATCGGCTTTTGCCGAGGCGCTGCGCTTGAGATTGGTAAAGATCATGTTGATACACGAGGATCCGCGTCCTCTATCTATGCGATTTCTTCGTCCGATTTGGTATGTTTGGTGGTTTGGGCTTATATTAGCAGGTGTCGTTTTCCTTTGCGAATGGAAGCATACAGCTCTGGTGAGGATTAAGCAGAGGCTTTTAGCTGAATTGGGCTTCTTTAATTAATTCAGCTAATTGATCAAATGCTAGGTAGCAGCATTTAAGTGGTTTTCTTAAAGCTTTCTGTTAACTGTCTAAGCAGGTAAAGCTTTGTAGAGACATTTGGTGTTTTAAACAATTCAAGTCCTTACCGAGTCAAAATGTTTTCTGAACAATTTTCTTTTTTAGCCCACTACTACTTTTACTCAATGAAGTATGCAAGGCTCAGCTTTTCGGTTAATTTATTGTATATATATACCCAGCACTTCATGTGAACCCCCAATAATATCAAAAGTAAAGAAATTCGAAACAATTATATATTTTTAATAAATATTGTATAAAAAATAAATTGTAAAGTCCGAACGATTTTCGCTCAACCCAGCAGCAGATTTGGGTTTCCGATAGCTAGCTTTCCACATTTTGATCTATTTTAGTACACGGTTCCTTTATATTTATGATTCTTTTATTGCTCCTTCGTCTTCGCGATGCAATTCACTAAACCACTTCTCCGAACTTGATTCCCTTGTCAAAGCTTTTCTTGCGCAAACGCCACGTATCTCAACTAGAAACACAAGAGACGCTATAATCAGCCCACCAATCAACAGAACCCAAGCTGGGTAGAGGGTATACAAGTCTAGAGCCTTGAAGGGGAACACATTATTCACCAGCTTAACGTATCCAGCTAGCAAAGCATCTTTGAAGTCCGAAGTCAACCAGTAAAAATCCAAGCCAGCCATCTGTACGTCCAATATAAAGCGTGTTAGAGGTTCCTCCAGATGTGAATCAAGACGCATCGGATAACTTATGCATGGACTACCCAAGCAGATTTTCGAAAACCGATTAATCGGCTTATTTGCATATTGTTCTTGTAATGATAGAAAGTACCAACGCTCCTCAGTAACCGGATAAGCATATGAGTTGTTAAAATTTAGTAGATGAGCCATTTGCACGCTCGAATTCGCGCCGACAATTAACTTCTTCACTTTCGATACCAGCGCTGGTGGCACTTGCTCCAAAACCATATCGATCTCATGAAATTTAGTCAATATGGGTAGCTGAGCCTCGATCAACGATTCGAAAGTATCCAATTGTTCGCCCACAAGAATGGTAGTAAAGAAGCTGCTAAGCAAATTATTGTACCAACTGGTGAGCAGAAAACCGAAAAGCGCCAACTGTAAGTACACCAACAAATAGCGCATCGATGGCTGATGACTCTGATAGGTGGACGGCAAAAAAACCACTTGAGCTATGCTCTCGAGGAAAGTGCGCGAGAGCTTAGTGAGAAATGGCGCATCCGGCGGCACACATGGACTTGTCCATGCCAACATCACTGAGATGTAAACTATAGCGGCGAATATCATCAGCCAACTACCTAACTTGAGCGGACGCACAGTATACAAACAACGTGGTATCTCATTCTGTACCGGCACCATGAGACAGCACTCCAACTTGAAGATCGGATAACTCATAATGCCTTGATGCTCTCTAATACTCGTATACGGTTGTATGGAAATCTCCAATTGTTGTTTCGCGATTTTTTCCACTATAATACTCATATTGACGCTGCTCGTAATGTCATGCACCTGATTGGGATTACTGATGCGCAGCGTCATATTCATACGACGTACGAAATTCACAAATATCTGATAGGCAAAACCACGTATTTTGGTTGCCTTGTCACGCTGTTGGCGCACAAAGAATATGCGCGGCAAATCGTTCTCGGCGGGCGTGGATAGCGTGTAGCCTTGCAGATCGGTCGGCGGTGGTGGAAAGAGATCGGCGCTACGATTATGCACTTCATATACATTTAAATGTGGAAATGGCGTGTAACGGTAAACGGTATTGTTGCACAGCAGCACGACATGTAAAAATTGTAATTGCCAGAGTTTGGCGAAAATTTCTTTTGGCTCAGTTGCCGTATTCGTCGCCACTACAATAACTTTTGTGCGACGTAGCTTACGCAAACGCTGATCGACTACGCGCCAAATACGGTCTGTGGACGCTGCGCATAAAACAACGCTGAGCGCATCGTTCGCTATGTGATGACGTAAGGTATTGCCGGGTGGCTTTGACGCGTCAGTGGCAGTGAAAATATAACGCGGCGCCAGCAGTTGTCTATCCAAGCTGTCAATTATCGCGTTGCGCGCGGTATGGTTTTCATCTTTGACGCCAATAAATATTGCCACATTCGCTATGTGATGGTACCGCAAAGTGTGGGCTAATACCGCGTCAAAGTTAATACCGTCCAAATTGGCGTGGCCGCAGGCGCCTAACGGCAGTATGCAAAGCAGTAGCGTGGTTAACGGTGCCAACATCCTGTAGGACTACTAACGGCCGCCAAGCAGGCAACGCCAGTTTTATACTGTTTCGCCGTAACTGAAAACAACTTTATTTTACGTTAATTTGTGCGCCCAGCTACATGCTCTATAAGCGCTAAATGTAAAAAGAAAATTAACTTGCTTCATTACAATTAAATTGAATCAATTAAGCCCTTAACTCATTAGGTAATTTTCACATTATTGCCGCTAGTAAAGATACTACTTCACTAACTGTAGTTGGAAATGAGTTTTTTATTTTTTTATTTTCCACCTGTAGTGCTACGAGCACACCCTAACATCGAGTCAGGTCAGTCAACAGTTGACACGCAATTTGAATAAAAATATAATAAAATAAAATAACTTCAGCAGACTGCCTTCTTTGAGGGCGTATAAATATTTGTCAACCTAAAACTGTTTGCTTTTCAAAAGCATGGCGAAGAGTAATGTTGTGGATATAAACGGCTAATGTACAGAGAGCGCTAAATGTCCGCAGAGTTGCCTTAACTAAAGATAGGCCGCAAGATGTTTTGATATATTTTGCATCGAGTGATTTAGAGAATGCTGCCGACTTTGGAATCGGAAAAACGATGTTTCTGTCGCTTGAGAAAAGGTGGTATAAAAAATTGTAATATTAGAAGCACCTGACTCTGTTTCAAAGTCTTTCAAGTTTAATGCCGAGCTAAACATGATAATAAGGTGATGACAATAAAGAAACTCTTTAAAGGGTGAGTAGACAAATCATGGAAGTGAGCGACTTATGTAAGACCAGAATTTTTCTTCGCCAAGACAAAGATCTGTGGCCATCATCAGCAAAAAATTGTACCATACATGATACAGAGAAGTCTAATTTATTTATTGTTTCATTATGATTTACGGTATATTTAAGACTACAATTATAAAAGTAAGTAAAACTTGTTAAAATTACGGTCAAGCAACGTGAAATCATCTTGAGCTCATAGAGTTTGCAATCTCACCTTCTTTGAGATAGCTAACGCCTCAGCCGTAAGTTTGTCGGCAAACCATTTAACGAACTCCATAGTGATATAGATTTTTGTCAGGTTTATTAAAAAGAAAAGTGTACACCAGCAAGCCTTGGACCATTGAAGATATTATTGCGGCTTTCAATACTAATATTCGTGTGGAAATCATCGGTGCACCGACCGAGACGCACGAAAAATAAAAATATTGCTGTTCACTTGATATTTCTTATAAAAAATAATGCAAATAGCTATAGTAAAAAGAAATTGATTATATTTCCAAAATATGACTTTACTGATCTGTATCTTGAGTTGTATAAGCGCAACCATGCTACGACGTAGGGTGTAAGATTTCGAAAACTGAGATGTCAAATATGCACCACGGACTGAAAGACCAATTGTCAAAAATATCGATAAAATAATATAAATCGTCGGGACCTATCGTCACGTCAAACATTAAACTAAAAACCATTTGGAACTAGTTGAATAAGACTGTATACAAAAAGAATTGCCAACTGCAAATCGCAGCTGAATCGCTATAAAACCGCTCCAGTTCTGAAGCGGATGGTTCAATTGAATGTGGAGGAATGCACTGCAAGACCAATTGTCGATTATGCTATGTCAAATATGTATGTATGTATGTATACATATATATATATGTATATACCATATATGAAGCAACTATTAATTAGTACTAAGGGAATTAAAGAATATTGAACATACACGCACAGATTTGACTACCAACAAATACACTCTTACCCTTAATTGTACTTTTCTTTTTATCTTTGATTTTTATACCCTGAACAGGGTATGTAAAATTGGCTACAATGTTTGTAACACCCAGAAGGAAACGTCGGAGACCCTATAAAGTGTATTTACAAATGATTAACGTGACGAGCAGAATCGATTTGACCATGTCCGTCTGTCCGCCTGTATATACGCGACTAGTCTCTCAGTTTTTGCGATAGCGGTTTGTAACTTGGACACGTTCTTTTCTCACAAAGAAATTGTTCAATTGTCGGAACTGCCGATGTCGAACTAAAATGTTATATATACTATGATACTGCCATACAACTGACCGATCAAACTCAAGTCCTTGTATGGAAAACTCTTTCATTTGTCAAAGCATCTTCATAAAAATTGGCGTAGATATTTATCCAAAGCATCGCTACAATCTCCGAACATATTTTTCAGCTCGGACCACTATAGCATATAGCTGTCACACAAACTGACCTAGGAAAATGAAGATAAAGAATTTGTTATACGCTGCTATGCTATGAAAAATGCACCTGTGAAGGGTATTATAACTTCGGTGCAGCGGAAGTTAATGTTTTTTTTTTTGTTGGAACTTATTTCAATATTATTGTTTTTGTATGCTATTTGCGGTATCGTCGAACAATCAAATTAGATAATCAGTTGTTTCAACCGGCGCATTTATTTATATACTTACAATGTTTTATTTATAAATACATTGGCATGTATATATATGAGTACTTTCCTTTCTTTCTACACTCTCTCTTACTCTTTACATTCTGCTCTTTCGTGTTTTATTGCAGTTTTATTTTTGTATCTTTTGCTTAGCGCCCATAAAATGCTTACACACATACATTTCCTCCACCAAATCAAATGCTTATCGCTCGCTAACGCTTATATACATACGCACATGCATACGCGTATAAAAAAACGTGTTGTTGTTGAGCACAACACTCACTTTGTGCATAACCTTGTTGATTTATTTGTCTTTTGTGTTTATATTGGGGATTTTGCCAGCGCAATCACAAGCTTTCAATAGCCGTGATCGTCTAGTGGTTAGGACCCTACGTTGTGGCCGTAGTAACCCAGGTTCGAATCCTGGTCACGGCAATGCTCTTACAAAGAGACATTGTCACGGATGAAAGCATTTATTTTTCAATTATATTTTAATAATACTATATTTGTAACAAAATTGTTTTAAATCTTTCAAAGAGGTAAAAACAAAATAAATTATAGAAAATAATTTTGAAAAATTCTAAAACTTTTGGTATAAAATTTATAAAAGTAAATAAAAAACAAAGTAATATGTGTACATATTTAAAAAATATTGCATTGAAGAGGTTAAAACGCGTTGTCGCGTCAGCAATACTGCATTAGACAGAAAGAGTCTAGAGTCTAGAGCTTGTAAAATCCTAATAGTAGCATTGGTTTCAAAGTCAAGATGTCAACTTTTTGATATTTTTTTCTTTTCTTTCTATAATTCTCCGTCCTTTTTCCATAAAAAGAAACGAACGACTTAAGACTGTCGAAAAGATAAGTACTTCGTTTGGCGATAAAAATAAAGGAAATTCGGTTATGAGGTAAAAACCTGACTATATTACTCACTAATCCCTGGGTACGACTATTCATTTATTGGACGGAGATTAACATGTACAGGTCTTCCTCAAGACTGTCGATAAGATCAGTACTTCGTAAGTTCGGCGCTAAAAATAAAGGAAATTAAGTTAGGAGATAAAAACCTGACTATATTACTCACTAACCTTTGTGTACTTGCACGATCAACTTAATGGTTTTTAACAGAGCGAAAATAATTTATCAGTTTCGTATAAAGGCGATCCACGCAATTTGTTTAAAAATAGCATACGGATTGAAAGCGAACTAACACGGTCACTAGTGCAATTGTTTTGCTGAGCCTACTTGTAGAGTGCTAAGAAAAACTGCTCACTGTCATATCGAGTGGCGAACTTAATTACCCCATCGATAGCAGTCGGTCAACTTCAACGAGTTGACGCATGCAAAGAGTAAATACAAATATTTTAGATAAATATTCAAAGTATTTAATATATATGTACATATGTATTATGTTGACTATCTGACAATTGTGCCGTGTCGCGTGGCTGAACTTTACAATTATATAAAGTGACGCCGCGGATGGCGCTTGAGTGCAGTACAAAACGTGGCGAACTGGCGAGCTCATTGCATGACGATTTCGCGCTATGCCTACTATACAGAGACCATGTAGTGCTTACGATTTGCTGGTATGAAACCAAGAAATCCTTGTAAGAGAAAAAGTTGGTGATTCGTTTTTGCGAATATGATAAGCGCCACCGCCTCACCTGCGGTTCTGACGGACGGATGGACGTGTTTATTGCTTCCGGTTGTGCGCTATTTCAGCATAAGATAAACTGGATTGGTAATAGCCAACTTGGAAAAGGTGGAACAGCACAAGATTTTTCTACTGCCGCATTAGAAAATCTGGCAACACTGAATTTTTTATCCGACAAATTTTTTAAAACGGCATTAGCTTGTTAACGATTCATAAAATCTTTCAACGGTATTAAAGCCTCCAAGTGCTCACATTTAAAAGAGGCGTTTAGGGCCAGAACGAAAGTAAGTGCTCCACCGCGGCTAGAATTAAATAGTTAGGCGCTGATAAGATGGAGACACGTGTCAGCTTTAATCGCATTTGTCAACATACTGTAAATATTTATTTTCGCAAACTAATTGCCGGCGGTCACGTAAATGTTCACAGATGCAAGCATACCCCTGGGCGATGTATGTATATAATTATAATTACAACGTAAACGTTTAAGCGCGCTTACAGGCAATCTGTAAACTTCATTTGCTTATTCCATGCATAAACACATAGTTGAGAGCATATCCTGTGCCGTTGTAACTCACATCGAAATCAAAAGGAAGCGCAAAATGTCTACCACACATCAGCTATTGCTCACTACACTACTGACGGCGTTATTTTACCGCGCCACGGCAGTGCATAGCTGGGATCGCGCGTACATTAAAGATTTCCTTTTGCCAATGATGCCATTCGTACAACCACAGGAAATCGCTTGGTTTATAAGCGAACAATTGAGCAAGACGATATACGTTGAAATAGAAGAATTCATAGTGGAGTTCGACGACGAACTCAAGCTTACGCAGACAGTATTGACGCACAGCAACGACGTGCCTTTTATCGCAACGGAAATGAAAAAAAATATATTATCTATAGTGTTTACGAGCGGTCCAGACGATAGTATTATGGATGTACACGATGGTGCGCTACACAATCGTCACAACACCTTCAGTTTTGTCGTTATGTTGAATGGCATAACAGATTTTGGCGTTGTTGTGCAATTTTTGCAAGATCTTCGTCGACGTAAATTTCAAAAACCCATACTGTACTATGTCGACGATGATGGACATAATCAAGTTTATAGTTATACTGTATTTCCGCGTTTTGAGATATTGGATCGTGCCAACTACCTTAACGAATTACCTGACGAGTATGCGCGCTTCTTAGCTGGTGGTTTGGAGACTATGGGTTATGAAATATGTACGCCATTGCGCCAGGATTTACCAGGCGTATTTATTGCGCCAAATGCGTCCGGCGAAATCGCAAGCTGGCAGGGTAGCTCATTCAGTTTGCTCAAACTCTTTACGGACTATATAAATGCGACGCTGGTGAGTTATGAAATGCCGAAAGATCGTTTGGGTGGCAATGTCATCGACATGAAGGCCGCCATGGATTTGTTGCGTCACGATAATATTACTTTTCTAGCGCATGCTTACGCCTTATTCTATGAGGATGACATCATTAGCTTGAGCTATCCCATAGGAGTGGTGCGTTGGTGTCTCATGGTGCCGATTTGGAATAGTGTTACAACAATATTTTATCCATTGGAACCCTTCGATGACCTCACTTGGTGGTGTATTGTGGTGGTTTTCGGTGCCTTGCTGTTGGTGCAAACTTTATGTTGTCTCCTGCACGGCACCCACGAGTTGGCGGCGCGTTTAAGTGATGGCATTTTACGCAGCTTCTGTTTGAGTACGGGCATAAGCGGACCCAGCTTGATGGCGGCACCAAATGCTTTGGATTTTTTTATATTTACCACATTTTTCTTTTACGGTTTCTTTCTCACCGCCAACTATACCTCATTGTTGGGCAGCATACTAACGGTCACTTCATTCCGCGCACAATTCAACACGATTGATGATCTAATAACCGCAAATCTTTCTGTGCTGATTATCGATTATGAATTGGAGTTTCTGCACTCAGGTGGACTAAGGCTGCCCGCGAATTTCTCACGTCTCATCCAACCGGTGGATGTGGCAACCTTCATAAAGTATCAATACAGCTTCAATACAAACTACGCATACTTTGTAACCGAGGAAAAGTGGCACTTTCTCGATTTGCAGCAACAGTATCTGAAGCCGGGCATTTTCAAATTCAGCAAAATATGTTTTGGTTCATTCTTTCTTGCCTTTCCCATGCAACGTGATTCGCTCTTCTATCGCAGTTTAGAGTACTATACGTTTCGCATGCATTCATCGGGCTTGATGCATCACTACGAGCGCACCGCCTTCGATTATGCGGTACATGCAGGTCTCGTAAAGCGTCTGGCTCAAAACCCGGATTACACTTCGGCTGGCATGCAACATTTGTTTGTCGTATTTCTTATGCTCATAACAATGCATGCTGTGAGTTTTTTGATTTTTCTGCTTGAGCGTTTAAGCCGCAGAATCATGGTGAGCGCAATCCCACCGCAAAGTGTTCTGCTCTCACGTGTGAGTACCGCAGAGTGTATTAAAAAATAATCGCTAGCCAGAAATGCTCTACTTAAGGCTCGTGTTGTTTTATATGGTTACTTAAGTTTTACTGAGTAACGCGAAGGTCTTAGTTATAATTGCAGAGCTTCACGATTCCTCAATAGCTTCTACAGCAAAAAATTAAATTAAATTAAATATATATGATTTAAATAAAACTATGAAATGGATATTACGACTTTGTTGAATGATTGATTAGTTTAAAAATCGGCTAGCCTTAGTGTGTTGCTTGGATTATCATAAGGTTATTTCAGACTTCCGATCCTAAAAATGGTTCTTTTTGATTTGAAAGTATCTTGCGAGTTTTTAAACGATTTAGATCTTTTCGAACTTTGAGTAGATCCCAGTCAAATTAGTAGGAGTAGCTACAGTCACTTTCAACTAACCTACCAAGAATACATACACATAATGACTACCGTCGCCGATTGGTCATAAATATTTTTAGTTAGCCGGGCATTCCAACGCCAGGACGAGGACGTATGTCGCTCTTCAAAAATCCCAAGCCTACCGGTGTTGTCTGTTACGAAAACAGCTGTGTATTGTCATACGATAGTGCCTTACTATGTTGAGACTTTGATTTTTGATACCATATGAAGACCCACAATATAACTTAGAGTTGATACATAGTCAAGTACGCATAGAAGACTTTTTGCCTTACGGTCATAGTAACTGATTTCGCGCACATGACTCTCGCGACTAAGTCTTATCAAGACTATTGTATCCACATAGATAAGTGGCTTGACGTATTCTTTTAATATATAGTACAAAGCAGTCAAATATCTTGGCATATGTCTTATGTTGTCTTGTCTTAATATGTTTTAGATTTTTACACCAATAAAGTAATAATTGCATGCGCTGTTTGGTTTACGGGCACCATTTAGCACTTAGGCAACTAATATTGCGAACCAAGAGAAGTTCTTTGAGTTGTCACCATTCATAAAGAAGATTTTTGTGCGTACACTAAAATATGGCATATTGCGAACTTTTGCTATTTTCCATAACCTTAAACTTTCAAAGACCCCACTGAATGCCTAAACACATTTAATCACATTCAGGTCACTCATACCCCCCCGCATTGCAGTTCAAGTATACTTGCACTCACAGTTCGCTTTAATGTATTCCAACAAAAAATAAAATTGCACGCTTCTAATGACCTTTTTGTCACGCGGCGCAGGCCAAATCGATTGGCGATCTTAATTACCGCATCGATTTCAATCGGTCAACTTCATCAAGTTGCCACATGCAAAGCGTAAACATATGACACTATGTCTGTGTAAACAAAGCTCACACACATAATGTTAATTTGCAGTTTTGCAAAAATGCCCTTCATTAGCGCGCTACCTCAAGAGAGAACTTTTTCCGTGACTATATAAACTGTCCACGCCGTTAAACCTCAAAACAGTGCCATTAACGAATAAGAGCAGCAGCGGCTCAAGTGATTTGCGGCGCAAAGCGAGCGGTGACTAGAGCAGTGATGCCTTTAGAGGTCAAAACTATATTGCGTACACCCTTCTATGATGATGTGCCGCGTGCTTTCGTACGCAGCGGTGAAAATATCAGCGATTCTACGCTTTTTGGACCGTACGCGCAGACCATTTGGAATTTCGCCAACAGACACCAAATGTTTTTGGAAATTAATCGTGATTTAAGTGAAAACTACTCGGAGACCTACGAACGCATACATAACGGCGAGTATAATCTGGCGATGAATGGCGCAACGCTGGTCAATCATTTCAAGTTTAATGTACAATTTAGTTATCCGCTTTATTGGGTGAAGAACTGTATAATGGTACCGCTGGAGGATGAGTTGCCAAAGTATTGGTACATAGTATGGCCTTTCGGACGTTACATTTATGCGTGTCTACTCTTTGGCATCTTCTACATAGCCATACTTATGCGTTACATCGAATATCCAACCAACGCGACGAAGCCCACACGTTCGATCACACGTAACATACTGCACAGCAGCGCGATCATAATGTTTAGCTCGAATATGAATGTACAGCTGAAGAATGCACACACACGCGTACTCTTCTTCTACATGCTACTCTTCGTTTTCGGCTTCATATTGGCCGCCTATCATGCACCTTATTTGACCGCCTATAATATGAAGCCCGTTTTTGTGCCGCCCATTAACACAGTTGACGATCTACTGAGCGCTAATATTAACGTATTGATCACATTGACTGACTTTGCGGAGATCAAACATAATAGTGTTGAGCACATACTCGCGTTGTCGCGCCTATTGCGTGAGGTGCCATGACAGGAGTTTCAGGATGTTTTAGACAAATTAAATCGCCATTACGCCTATGTGGTAACAGAGGATCAATGGAATTTTCTAAATCGCCAACAGCGCATACTAATCCAACCGTATTTTCATCTCTCGAAAATCTGTTTTGGCACCGTCTTCAAGGCTATACCGTTGCAACGCGATGCCGTTTGGTTGGAGACGCTCAATTTGTTCATTTTAATTGTACGCGAGTCGGGTCTTTGGGGTCAATGGGAGGAGCGCGCATTCAATGAAGCAGTACGTGCAAAATATGCACAAATATTTACCGACACCTATCCGGTAGAATCTTTAAATTTGCGTTTCTTTACAATTGCGTGGATCGTTTTGGCTTCAGGTCTGCTCTTAAGCTCATTGGTATTCGCCATAGAATATTACGTTCATAAACATTACAGCGTGAAACAGTTGGAATACCATCGTTTCATGTATTAGTAGCGCCTTGACGAGTTACAATATTATTTTTTTATAATTAAAAGGCAATGTAAGTTCGATAAGACTAAAAAATCAAACATAAAATTATGAGAGTTACTAATTTAGGCAACTTAAGGCAGTAATGGAACAGCGAGCAAAACTACGTGGAAGGAAAAAGTAGAGCAGGAAAGAAGTAACTATTAATTTTACATACGCTCTTATTTTTCCTATTGTTTCACCGTTGTGAGTCGCTTTATTTTGCGCTCTGCTAAGTGCTTTGTCTTATTACTAGTGTGTACTGCTCACACTCATATATTAGTTGAAGAGAGTATCGTACCAGCAGCGAGCCAATGAGCGCACAGCGTTGCTCTTCGTTCGACAAATAACAGTTTACTACAATATTCATCATTTCAATATAAACAAAACAGATTTAAAGTAAAAATTAACATTGAAACAGAAAATTATTTATTATGACGCAGCCTAAGTATTTAAGAAATAATATGATCATTAGCATATAACAAACAGTGTCATAATGAGACTGTCTTCACTGACGCCTATGCGCGCGGCTCTTCATCAATCGAACATTTAATAACTCTCCAACAAAAACACACGTACTAATACAAAACATCGCCAGCAGCATTAAAAAGATCACAACCAAGTGTTGCATGCCAGCCGACGTGAACTCCGTATTATCCGCCAAACGCCGCACAAGTTTCGCATGCACGGCATAATCGAAGGCTGTGCTCTGGTAGTGACCCAACATGCCCGACGAATGCATACGATAGATATAATATTCGAGATTGCGATACAAAGTGTAATCCGGTTGTAGTGGATAGGCTAAATGATAGGAACCGAAGCAGATGTCGGTGAACTTGAAGAGACGTTGTTTAAGATATTTCTGCTGTAATTCCAGAAAATTCCATTTCTCCTCCGTAATAAAATAGGCAAAACTTGTATTCAACTGCACTTGATGTTGAGTGAAAGTGGCCGCATCCACTGGCAGTAACAAACGTGAGAAGTTTGCTGATAATTGATCACCGTCGGCAAGTAGAAACTCCAATTCATAATCGATAATCATAACGGAAATATTCGTTGCTATCAGCTCATCCATGGTGTTGATTTGTGTGCGAAATAAAGTTACGGTAAATATGCTGCCCAATAATGAGGTGTAGTTGGCGGTAAGAAAGAAACCATAAAAGTAGATGGTGGTGAAAATGAGGAAATCCAACAGAGTAGCTGCGCCATAGTAGTTCGGCGTGCAAATGCCAATACTCAGGCAGAAACATTCCAAAACCGTATCGTTTAACCGTTGCGCCAACTGATGTGTGCTCTGCCAACAGCACCACAAACACTTGACACTCAGCAATGCAACAAAAACGCCAACAATGATAAACCAAACAAGATCATCGAAGGGTTCCAGCGGATAGTACATAGTTGAGATGCTATTCCAAATGGGCACCATGAGACACCAGCGCACCACCATGAGCGGATAACTCTTGCCAAGCTCGTCGTCCTCTTTGAATAAAGCATAAGCGTGTGCCATTATATCGACTTTTTTGTGACGTATGAGGTTCAGCGCCGCCTTCATATCGATTACATTGCCGCCCAGTTCATCTTCCGGCATTTCGTAGCTTACTAAGGAGGCATTGCCGTAGTCCGTAAAAAACTTCAACAAGGTATAGGCTGAACCACGCCAAATGGTTTGACCTGTACTATTCTTATAACTGAAGACATGTGGTAGGTCCTGACGTAGCGGTGTATATAACTTATAGCCCAACATATTCATGCCGCCAGCTACAAGTCTCTTAAAAGTTTGCATTAAATATTCCAAAAAGTTGGAGCGATTTACTAAGTGATACTCCGGATACAAGGAGTAAGCAAAGAGCTCATTGGTTCGGTTGCTGCTGTAGTAATATAAAATAGTATTTTGAAAATTACGCGCACGCAGTCCTAGCAATAGTTGCTCCGCCACTCTGAAGTCATCCACAATATTCATCATGATCATTAAGCCGAAATACATATGGCGTCCGAGCGCTGTCCGATCATAGACATGTAGAATGGGATCATCTGGCGCCGTACAAAAGACTACGCTCAGTCCATTTTTCTTATTTTCCGATTGTATTAAGCGTATATCGGTGCGATTGGTTATCACTGTCTGTGTGAGGCCCAAACATTCGTCCAACGTTATGATGAGCTCCTGTACGTCAACGCTGTTCGTTGCATCGATGCGTTCGCTCACGTACCAAATGATCTCTTGTATTTGTATTGTCTTACCCAGTATGCACAGCATATTTAGAATGTAGTCCACCTCCCAAGATTGCACCGGCTGTAGTGTGTTAAGGCAGAGCAAGCTGAGCCAAAAGACCCGTAGTTCAGCGAAATTCAATTTCATCGTAAGTACTCCTTAATGAACTTATGCAAGTGAATTAACAGTTCCAACTTCGTTTGCAGTCTCTTTAAAGGCAATTGGAGTACACATTTTGTAAAATGAAGCTTTACATCAATCTGTGGGGAATACAAGCATGAGCGCCTTGTCAACAAGTTGGAATAATTAACGAGAGTCTGCTCTTTGGGGATTTGTCACATTTTGTATGCGATGGCCTGTGACGACGTTGTGTGTCTTCAGAAACTTATTACTAATAAAATCGTTAAGTCATTACCTCAACAAACGGATATTATTGTACTTGTATATACTTCTTGTTTCATAAACCCCAGTAAATACTCACAAGCGAATGCTTAAATTTAATTGATAGTCTGACACCGATAAATGCAGATTAGAAGCAGGCAGTCTTTCATCTGCTCTACAAACTGTCTAACTGCCTTAGCGTCAGTATCTTCCCACCTAATCGAGGTCAGTTCAAAATTATGGTAGGACTAACTTCCCAATCGATCTCGTCGCAATTGTAGGTATTCTAACTGGATATAGGTTCACAAACGTGGTGCGGCTAATATTTTGTCGAACGCTTTTTGCCAAGGCTGTATAGAGGAAGGCGAAGTGGAAACACCTTGTCACTTTCTGTCTTATTGCTCGGCTTTTGTCAGACTGAAATTGAAATATCTTCGGTAGACAGACTAGCTTCCGGGAACCTAGCGAAGTGGATGAGTTTGATATCAGCCGAGTTTTTAGGTATCACAAAGAACCAACGTTCACAGTTGTTTAAGTGAAACCCATCGATAGGAACAACGCTCCTGTACAGAACGAAAACTATACAATAGGAAATAGTTAATCTGCTCCAAGTACGAGTACTTCTGCGTCATAAAATCGTAGTTTCTGATAGCAATTCTCTCCCACAGCATAGCCGAGTCCACACATACGTTTCTCATGAACCGCTTTCGGTAGGCACTAAGAAAAAGCTCACATTATCTATAGCACACCAAATTTTTGGGACAAAAACTTCTGAAAAATTTTGCGAGTGCTAGCATTTAAAGTGTGGCTCTTGTCTTTTCTTATTGTCACTCAATCGAGCCTACTCTAATAACTGAACTCTTAATAGCTCACTTTTTAATTCTTTGAACATTTTAACCTCTCCTGTTGTACGCATATACAACTGTAACACCTGGTTTTGACTAAAAGTGTCAAATTCCAATGTGGTCTTCTTTATTGCCAGCATACTTCAGCACTTTTTGACAGAATGAAAAACTATTTTTGCTTACACGAGAAAGTGGGAAATGTCATCCACAAATTTAATAATAATTCACTCGACTTCGCACATACGTCACTTGTTCGAAATTGTCTTGTCAAATTGCTGGTGAAATTAAAAGCAACTGTCATTCAACTGTTGAATCAAAATGATACCGCTTGCTTGATAGTCACTCTTTACACGTGGCGTACTTATATAATATATTATATATGCTTGCATGTTACTTATGTACATACACACATACATAGTAACGCCCACTAGCGTTTTTGCAGGCACACATGTAGTTGACATTTGTTGATATTGATAAGTTAGTTTAAAAATTCTCGCATGCGATAAAAATTATAGGTTTCATAGCTGGCTGCTGGCATGATGGATATTGTTAATGTTTGGTGTGTTTTTTGTTGTTGTAGCGGCTTAAAAGATTCTCCTTGCAACACTATCATGTTGATTATCCTTAACCGGTTTTAAATCAGAGTGCGTTCCGGTTACGTAAAACCAATTATAGTGCGAAGGAGAGCAGCAGTTTCCGATTAACATGAAAAAATTGTCGTCGATCGTCCTCAGCAGGGTATTATGCCTTCGGGCCAGCTGACCATAACGACTTGTGTTTTTTTCTATTAAAAACAAAAACAACAACAAGCTGCATATATTTTTATTTATTTTCACTGTTTATATGTGTATTTATTTGTTACGTATGTATTTACAGTTAATTTACACACAGACACAATAATAATAGTTATAATAATAAATTAACGTTAGAATTATGCATGTAGATATATATAGTATGTATACGCAGATTTGCACTGCTTCTTCTTGTTTTTAAATATATATTTCTTCGTTTTTTGCTACATAATAGACAAGGTAAGCTTGTTGTTGCCATTTGCACTAAATATTCAACTATTCAAAAATAACACTCAATATTTTATAGAAAAAAGAGTGTCAGTGTGTGTGTGTGTGTGTGTGTTTAAAACCAACAATTACGGAATGTAAATTATAAATTGAAAAACATAAAAAATAATTTGCAATTTGTGTGTAAATATTTATATTGTATATCGTATAGTATTTATTTATGCACTTATGTATGTATGTATGTAAAATTTACAAAAACAAAAATTAATAATATATTGCTACTGAATAAAAATAATAGTTATTTTTATTTAGCGAAGTTTTCAAATTTTTTTTTTTTTTGCACACATTCTCCTCTATGCAATTGCAACAATGCTTTTACTTTTTTTTCTAAACACAAAACATAACCAACCACATTAGTTTTATGCTACTCTGCTACTTAAGAAAGTTGCACATAATTGCAGATGTGCTTAAAAAATAACGGGAATTTCTTAAATTTTTAATAAATTTCATTTCCAACAACTTTTCATTATAAAAGGTGTTTCGCACACATATACAGATGCCATATTTTCCACAACACTGTAGCATATGTGTATATAGCGGTGTGTGCATGTTGCAATACTTTGTTATATATGCTTGTATATGTGTATATACACACTAGGTTGCGGTGCAAACCTCATACAATTTCTATTCTATATGTATATATGTATATATGTATGTAATTCGTTAACTGTATTCAACCGTTAACCGCGCGCACACTCTATGGCTGGCCATAGAGCATTTCCGAGCCGGGCGGTATTGAGCTGGGATCGACGCTGGCATTAAAGTAGCTCGCTGGTGAAGCGAAAACATTTGTCAACGCTGTTGGTGCTGCTGTCAGCTCTGTGTGTCGAGCAGTGTTTGATGTTGATAAGTTATAGGGATTTTTCAGATATTCTTGATAGATATCATTTTCGCCACTTTGTTGTTGTAAGGTCGGATATTGCATTGCAATATTCGATGCGTAGCTCGATACGATGGCAGGATTCGTTTGTTGTGGTAGCAAAGCAGGTGGTGGTTGTTGTTGTTGTAGTTGTTGCGATGGATTGCTGCTTTGCATGACAATGTAGGGAGCACTGTAGTGGGAATGTTGTTGGGTGGATATTGGCACATTATCGGTCGTCTGCGTGTCTACAGCGGACTGCTGATGCTGCTGCTGTTGTTGTGGTGGTTGTTGTTGTTGTTGAGCGTTCGCCTGTACGACCGCTGTGTGGGTGGCGCTGCGCTGCTGGCCGTCAAGCGCATGTTGATTGTATAAAGTGTGTTGTTGTTGTAGCAATAGTTGCTGGTAGTGCTTTTGAGTGGCCGCTGCCTGCGCAGCAATGTAATCTGTATACTGCTGGTGTGATTGCGGCTCATGACTTTGTTGTTGTTGTTTTTGTTGCAACAATTGCGTTTTCGCATCTGCGGCCGCTGGTGGCGTTTCCGGCAACTCAATAGCGTACGAATAACTGCTGTAGTTATTATTTTGCACCGTATTGTTGACAACAACCGCTGGTTGCTGTGTTGACGCATGCTGCGCTTGATCGACAGCTGCTTGGGCGCTCACCAACGACAGCTGCGCAGTATCATAAACTAAATCAGGTAAACTGGTGGGCGAAGCAACGAGTGACGTTGTGGTTGCCTCCGACACCGTTTGTGGCACAATGCTGGGCACCGGACGCACCAGCAGTGGCGTGTCGTCCAACAGTAACAGCGGATTGGTTGTGATTGGCGAGGCGGCCAATGAGTGGCGCGGTGATGTGGCGTCCAAATTGTGACGCTGCACGCTGCTCAACTGTAATTTATAGCATATTGTTGCAGTTAAACAAATTTGTGTAGTTTTTCATTTATTTATTTTTGTACTTACCAACTCGGCAGAGTGTGGTCGTTGCGTGTAATGTGCTGATGTGGCGACTGGCAGCGCCAACGGTGTGGGCGGCAACAGCACCGGCTGTGTGTCGGCTGGTTTTATTGCCGAAATGCTATTTGGTGAGCTGGCGGTTTCGGTTGTTGCTTGTGATGGCTGTGGTGGTGGTGGTGGAGATGCCGCATTGGTCACAGACATCACTTGAGCGCGCTTATCTGAAAGCATAAACAAGTGGCAGGCGTATGTAAATGGCAATGGCTGTGACAGTTGTCTTCAGAAATGTTTGTGCACAAAACAAAGAAATGTAACAACAACAAAAAACATTTATTTGAAATGGCTGTGGTCAAGTTTGGCTCGAACTCGCATATGACCAATAGAATTTCGAACAAATTGTTAGCTAAATTAACAACAATCAATATGTTATACCCTACACCACAATATTAATAAAAGCATTTAGATAAATTAATTAAATTTTAAAATATTTACTAAAAATTATGAAGTTTTTGATATTTAATAAAAATATTTAGCATTCGGTTTTTATTTATTCGTCAATAAATGCATTTAACTAAAAAACAAGAAAAAACTTTAACTTCGATTGCACCAAAGCTATAATACCCTTCACAAATATAAAATATTCCTTACAAGAACTTGATTTATCATTTAGTTTGTATGGCAGCTATATGCTATAGACATGCGATCTGAATAATTTCTTTGGAGATTGCACCAATGCTCTAAAAAATTCTCCATGCCAAATTTCTTGAAGATATCTCGTCAAATAAAAAAGTTTTTCATACAAAGACATAAATTTGATAGTTCAGTTTGTATGGCAGTTATATGCTATAGTGGTCGATATCTCACAAACTGAGGAACTAGATCGGACTTAGATCGATATCTCACAAACTGAGGAACTAGATCGCGTATGAGACAGACAGAGGGACATGGCTAAATCGAATCATTTATATATGGTATATACCTTATATGGTATCTGACGTTTTCTTTTGGGCGTTACAAACATCGTGGAAAACTTAATGTACCCTGTTCAGGGTATAAAAACATAAGCAAGGTGAACTTAACTCTTTACTAACGCTAAAGAAACTCTTTCACAAAATTATTTATAAAAAACCAACTAAAAAAAACAACTAAAAAAAACAACAACAAAAAAACAACTAAAAAACAAGTAAAAAACAACTAAATAAAAACTTAAAAATAACTTTAAAAAAACTAAAAATAAAACTACAAAAAAAAATAAAAAACTAAAAATTAAAATAAAAATAAAAAATTAAATATGAAAATAAAAAAATATATATAAAACTAAAAAACAACTAAAAAGAACAACAAAAAAAACAACAATAAAAACAACAACAATAAACCACTAAAAAAAACAAGTAAAAACCAACAACTAAAAAACATTAAAAAAAGACTTTAAAAAAACTAAAAATAAAACTACAAAAAACAATAGAACTACAAAAAAAAATAAAACTACAAAAAAAATAAAATTTAAAATAAAAGTAAAAAATAAAATATGAAAAAAAATATATATATATATAAAACTAAAAAACAACTAAAAAAAACAACTAAAAAAAACAACTAAAGAAAACAACTAAAAAAATAAATAAAAAACTAAAACGTCTAAAAAAAAAACTAAAACACGTCTTAAAAAAACTAAAACTTAAACAAATAAATTTGTGCGAAGAAAGTCTCTACTCTTTGCGATTTTAACTAGTTTTCAAAACTAAATACTGTTAGTGATAAAAAAATTTAATTATCTGCTTGTTTTTGCGCAAAATTTCAACTAATCCATTGGCACTTGGCGTTTCAGTTTCCATAATTTTCTTAGCTTTCTCGGCACAGAACCCGTGGCAGCTTTCGTATACTGTGGCGAAGGAAGTGCGCTTTCTTGCTTTGCTTCGCTATGGAAAACTTGGCAGTTATTGGCCAAATCAGCACGCAATAAATTTATTTGATTGCAATTTTTGAAAATAAAATCTATTTTTTTCTTTAAAAAGTAAATTAATGATATACAAACAACAGCGCAAGCTTACCTTCATCGCGGAACAGCTCGTCCTTGATGTTGGGCAGAAATTCGCCTATGCGCTGCCACGTCAAGTCCCACAGCGGCAGCTGCAGCGTGCCGTCATCATTGTGGAAGACGCGCACCGAGTGCATTACCAACAGCATATTCTTAAGTATTTCCTGCATCTGTTCGGACAGCATATCGGAACCGACTTTCATGAATTTCTCAATATAATCCAGTATATCAATCCACAGCTCGTTGAAGGCGGCGCCCAATTCAATTAACGGTGTTAAATGGTGCAGAAATACCTTCGACATAATGGTGGCCGTGCGTATGCGCGACTCTTCCAGCAATACGATTTCCAAATGCGCCACCGAAGCGCTTTCCGGCAACAATTCGTTGAGTAACGGAAATAAAACCTGTTGGAAGCAAGACGCCCATTCGGCGCCCGACAATGTCTGCAAGTCGTGCACTAGCAGCGCGCGCTGCTGTAAACACGATATGGCATAGGTGCGCACCTCACGACGCCGATCCATGGCCAGCCGCGCAATGCCCTGTAGCAGTGGACACCAGCCTTGCGCCCACAGCGCCGAACACTGCGGCACCGCGCACTCCTCCTCGGCCCACCAGCGAAAGATTTGCGCCGTGCGCGTATACAACGTGTACATGAGGTCAATTAATTGTATGGAGAGTGTTTCGTAGCGTTGACGCAAGTCCTCCTCCTTAGCGTCGCCGCCACGTTGCTCGTGCGCATAGTAATCGCTCGCCGTGTTTGATTTACGTTGTGCATCGCGTTCATTGCGCTTGGCGGCCGCTTTGCGACGTTGCGCAGCAGTGGCGTTAGTTGTGCTCCTTGCTGAGAGCTCAGCGGCGAATTTGCGGCGCTGTGTTATGCCACCATCGCGACAACACTCGACAAAGGTGCGTATGCAACGCACGCACGACTCGAAGTTGTAGGGTGTAATGTGTGCGACATTGCGCACGATGAACGCCAGCGAGTCCCAGCATTTGAAGAGCGCGATGGGTGAGTGTTCGCCCAGTTTACAATTGTAGATGAGCGGTGAGACTGTGGGTGCGGCTGTGGTCGAATTCGCCGCGTTCGCCGTAGGCGGTGATTGTGGACTGTGGAACGTAGTAAAAATCAGCAAATTATATAAAGTAAAAAATTTACAGTTATAGTAATTACCGCGATTGCGTAGACAAATCACTATCCTTATTCACCAAAATCCAGTTCTCGGCGGTCGGGCTCGACGGATACGGACTGCTCGTGTTCGAATGTATCTGCTGTTGCTGCTGTTTGCTTTGTTGTTGCGCTGGCTGCTGTTGCGACTTGATGCTCGCATCTGTATCTGATAAATAGCCACGATCGGGTAAGCCCGAATCCTCTTCGCTGCTCAAAGTGCCCTCGGAATTGGCACCGCCGCCCAACTCAAGCGGCAATTGCGGCAATATAATGTCTACATACTCGGGTGGCACAGCGCCTGCGCCGACACATTCCAATATCGTGAAAATTATTTGCCAATCCTGTTCGGAGTGTATATTTTGTGCCGAAGTCTTGAGTAGCTCGTAAACGCCGGTGGAAATCTGTCGAGAAATGCGTAAAATAACGGCAGATTTCAGCGTGAGTAACATTTTAAGTGACTGCAGCACGATGGGGCAAAGCTCTTCATTGCGCATCAAGTAAATGGCCAGCTTCAGTACAGCGACTATGCTGCGATTGAGCAGATATTCATAGTTGTAAGTGGTGGCACCGATTAGCAGCAAATAGATGCGGTCGCGCACATCCGGCCACAAATGCACCATACGATCACGATTCTGTATGACTATCTTCACCAGCAATTCCATCCAGAAGACTACAACATCCTCGGCGTACGGTGTGCCGTCGTCGTACTTAGCCGCTGTTGGCGGCTTGATAAGCGCTAAAATATTGCGTAGCAACTCCTGCAACGACTCCAATTGCACGAATTTCGATTCTTGTATCATTTGATCTAATTGACATTCTTTTATGCATTTCTTGCCCAACTTTATAAACTCTTGCTCTTCGTAGGTCGGTTCGCGTTGCCCCTCCGAGGAGAGATATGAGTAGAGGCTGGAGAAGAGGCCGGCCTCTTGCTTCTGGCTCGGCTTCTCCAATTTCAATTGTGTTTTGCCGCTCTCCTCACAAAAGTCCTCCACTTCAATTAATGATTTCGGTAGTAATTTCAAACGGAATAGTTGCAGGAATAACTCAAGTATGTGCTTCCAACCTTCGCGCAAGCAATCACCATAATCATGCACCAAAGCGAAGACAGTACGCATGGCCGCCTGCGCTTTTGCATTGAAACCGAAGCCAACCGATTGGGTAAGCTCGTTATTGGCGACGGTGGTCGCCTCGGGTTGTGACAAATTCGAGAGTGTGGTGAATTTGCAAAGGGTGAGTATGAGCGCATCGAAATTGGCATGCAAATTGTAGTGAGCGGCAATGCCAGCGCATTTGGTGAAGCCTAGAAAAAAAGAGTGGAAATTATTTCAATTATTTAATAAAATCAATATATATATTTAATAAGAAAAATGTATATTTAATAAAAAATATATGTATATACAAACAATATAAAAATATTAATTAAAAAATTTAAAAAATATTTTTTTAAAAACGTTATTTTTATGTAGCAAAATATTTTAGTTAGATATTTTTTATGAAAAAAGGTGACTTTACTGAAAAAAAAATACATTTTAACTAAAAAATATAAAATTTATGATAACTACATTGTATATTATTTTTTTTCTCCAGAAGAGCCTTTTTTAATATTTATATAAGAAAAATAAAATAACTTTAGTTAAAAACTATATTTTATATAAAATAACGTTAATAAGACTTTCAATTAATAAATTTTACTAAAACTTTTTTTTATAAAATATTTTACTATTAAATTTTTTTTTAAATAATAATTCGGAAAAAAAGTCTTTAGACATTTTTTTGAAATAAGAAAGTTATCATTTAGTAAATTTTTAATTAACAATGTTATTTGAATAATGAAAAATATTATTTGAAATAAAATAAATTTTATAATAAATATTAATGTTAATCAAAATTTGGTTTGAAAAAAGAAAATTTATTAAATAAATATATTTTATATATAGTAACGATAATAAGACTTTCAATTTAAAATTTTTACTAAACATTTTATAAATAAAACGGTTAACTGAATTATATACATAAATATTATTTTTCACAAAATAAATTTTTTAATAAAAAATATGCTTTGAAAAATAAATTTTTTTACATTAAATTTTATAAAAAAATAGATCGATTTAAAAAAAAAAAAAAATACATATCTTTTTATAAAAAAACATTAAAAAAAAATATTTTTATAAAAAAATTAAAAAAAAAAAATATTTATAAAAAAAAAATTACAAAAAAAAATTTTGTAAAAAAAAGTCTTTGGAATTAAAATAAATATGAAATAGAGTACTACTTACCACTCAGTATGCGTTGATAACCACTTTCGGAGCTCTTATCAAACATAAAGCTTAAAGCACTCAACGAAGCACCCCATAGCAAATTGAAGACCTCCAAATCGTAGGCTGCATCCTGCACGTATTTATAAACGCTATCTGGACCCACACCGCGACGCAACAGCACCTTCCACAAGTAATTCTCACGCACCAGACCAGTCTGCTCAGCGGGCATGACGATTTCTTCATTTCTACACAATAATATGGTGCGAATAAAAAGATATACGAAAAAAAAAACGAAACACTCACTTGATTGCATTGAAAACGTTTGAAAGCATTTCCTGATCAAAATCCACGCCACCATTCAAGCCACGCAAATTTTTGAGAAAGTCCTCCTGTGTCATAGGCACATTTAAACGCTTCGCATTCGAATTATGCTGATCCATATTCAACATAATGATGGCATAGGCCAAACTAAAAGCAGCATCGGTATTGGCAAATGGCGCATTATTTTGTTTCTGCAAGTAAATCGAATGGAAATTAATATAATTTTAACACGCTAATGCATGATATACACACGCACATGCCAGTGGTCGGCAAAATGTTCGAGTACGAGAAATATGAGTGGCGCCTCGCCCGGCAAACGGAAAGTCTCCAAATACAAACGCAACGCTTGATCCACGCGCAAGCCGGCAAAATCGAAGGAGTCGACGAAATTCATCAAAATCTTCGAATCCACATTCTTCTTCTTCGATATGTACTCACCAATCATTTTCTTGTCTAAGCCGGGATTTTCGCGCAAGAACAAGGCCACCTGCATGGGATCTAGTTGCGCGCTGAGTATGCCATGTTCCTGCAAATATTGTATGCCCTTATCGGGACGTTGATTGAACAACTCTGTGCCCTGCGAGAGCACACGTTTCTTTTGCTTGACATTCGTTAAGTATTCGCGTGTCAAGCCGGCGTTAGCTATGCCACCAGCGCCTAGACGTAAACGTGATGAGCTATTAATGAATTTGGAGATATTTTCCACAACCGATTTGTTGTCTTCATTGTTGCCATCGATAATTATGGCCTCCAATTCGGAATTATGACGTGAATGCCGACCGGTGGTTGTTACTGTGCTTGCGCCTGTGCTGCCATTCTCGTTGTTAACCAGCTTAGAGGCGATGCAATTTTGCTCAATATTCTCGATAACCGATGACAGCGTGTCTAGCGAGATGATGTGTGTGCTGTAGACAGCATTTGTAGCGGATAGCGTGTATTTGGAGAGCAAGTTGACCAGACCCTCAAATAGATCGGTGCAGTATAAATCGCAATCGTAATTAATATAGAGTTCGGAGACGAAACCTGGTATGCGCCACAATTGTAGCAGATTGTCGAGTGCCAGCTCGCGCATTTCATAAGGCGTTTTCGGGCTATCGCTCGCAACTATCTCGGATAGTTTCTTGAGATAAGCTTCCAGTTGGAATTTCAAGTGACCGCGTAGCGATTCGAAAAGCAGAAAGCAAAGTTGTAAATCGGCAGCGAATATTGTGAGACGCTCTGAGTTCATTAACTGTTATCAAATATAAAAACAAAAATTAGTAACCGCTTTAATTTTAACACATTAAGCAACTTACAGCGAAAAGATTACGGCACAAATCATCCTTCACCAACTCCAGCAACGTATCGTATTTACCGATGTTATCGGCGCCCACTTTGAACGCCACGGTGAGCAAACTCAAACCCATATGTATCATGGTATCGGTATTTTGCTTGTCCAATGGATTGCAGAGCAGTATTAGAAAACGGAATAACTCCTGTATGCATGGCAAGCCATAAGGCAGCAGTGATGCAGCGCCCTCGGAGCCATCAAGCGAATTTTGTTGTGTAAAACGCACGCCAACCGAATTTATATACTCACTGCTGCCGCCACTATTCGACTGCAAGCCGTTCTCTTCAGCTTCTACCAGCGTTGTTGTTGTTGTTGTTAAGTTGTTAGCGCCAGCATCAGTGGCCTGCTGTTCGGCACAAATTAGCGGTTGTGTTGGTGCAGCGCCTTCCACGCCGTCGACATGCTCTTCGCATTGCTGCACATTTATAGACGACTCTGTTGTTGTTGTGCCATCAGCATCGACAATGCCTTGTGTTGTTGTTGGTGTTTGTGTAATTTTTCCCTGCATATCGAGTATATTGCCGGCCGGTGTCGCTGGCGTTGTGGCTAAGGGTAGCGCTTTCGTGTGTGGCACCTGTAAATGTGGCGTTTGTGGATCTATAACAGTCGTGACTGATAATTTACGTTCTAATTCTGGTTTTGCATTATCGCTACTACTCCTCGATAGCGTATTGGTGGCTGTTGATGTCTGTCCACTTTTCAATATTTTCTTGCGCTGTTTGCTTTTGTTCTGATCCATTGAGGTGGCTATCATTTGGAATTTACGCAATACATTTGCTGCATTACGATCTTCGGAGAATTGTGGTAGACGCATAAAGAGTAGATAAACCATATCTTTGAGCGCTTTTTTAGCATAACGTCGCAAAAGTTCATTGAGACGTGGTTCAAAGCAAATTTTAAAGCAACTGAGCATTACTTCGCACACCGCCTCGTTACTCAGCACCGAACCCTCGGGCGAACGCATAAGTGTGTGCAAAACTTCAACGACGCAGAAAAGTGTAACACCATCTGAAGACTGATCGGTACCCATAAAACGTGCATGCGTGACGGCATCAACGATATTCTCCACAGTTACAGCGAGATTAGTTGAGGTGGGGTCTGTGTATATTAAAACAAAAAAATATTAATAGCAATAACTATGTATATAATAAAGCATGTATACCTATTAAGCCTGATGATAGAAATTCATTGATAGCTTCTAGCGCTAGACTAGTAACAGCGCCCGTAGTCTCGTCGGTACGTATTACTTCCAAGAATGGCGCCAGAAATATATTGGGCTCTATTAGTCTTAAATCTTCTACATTTTTTAACATTTCTTTAAGATTAACGAACATTTTCATTAAGCCATCTTTTTCTTCATCCTAAAGTTTTGTTGAAACACAATAAATCAACATCATTAAAATCAAACATATGTTTGTTACGTATAGTATATGCAAATGAATACTACTTACCACGTAAGCGGCGGAGTTCCAACGCGTGCCACGGCGCATCGCCGTCATTAGCGTGGACATCTGCTCGCGCACCACGAAGATTCCATTGCCGGGTAACGTCATTTTTTAATAGAATCTGATATAAATCGCTTACTTTTTTCTTCTCAGCTACGGAAATACCCGCAGTAGAAGTATAACACACACACAAACAAACTTGCTATTTAACAATGCAGCTGGTAATCCTGTGAATTGTTGTGTACAATATATTTCTTTTTTTGCCTACTGTTTTACAACAATAGACCCTTATTTATTCTTGAACATTGTGTATATCTACAGAAAACTATTAATGAAAATATACAATTTTTCCACGCAGCCACGACAATTTTTACTCGATAGACAAATAAGTGATGACGTTTCGTTATGAGTATTAACTTGACAGCTGTTTATTATGAATAGGATTCCAAATGGCAATGCTAATGTGCAGCGCCTGTTCTCACCAGTAGCGGCATAACCGTTGCTTTTTGAGCTACAAATTGCAAGTTTAGTTTTTTTATAGGAAATTTATGTGAAACTTTTGTATACTAAGTAATATACTGTTACAATTTACCTGCTTAGTTGTTATAGATAGATAGAATTAATTTTTTTTAAAGATATTTATAAGAAAAAGGGATTCAAAAAATTGCAGCTGTTAAGTTTCTGTAACATTCGCTATAACTTATAACGGTATTAACCGGTGTGTTGTTAGAGATCCACGACAGTCGGGTCTATGTAACCGGAACGGACCCGGATTTATTCCGGCCAAGGATTGTCAACTCGGCAGAATTCTGCCGCTACAACAACACCAACAACAGAGATCCACCCTACCTACCTACTGCCTTAGGACAAAATACTTAGATTAATAAAATTTTAAATCATATATATTAATTATCAAAAAATTTTAAAACATCATATTTACCACATTCATATGAAGTTATGCCTTTAGCTGCACTAACAGAGAAATCTGGCAATATTGGGAAAAAATGATAGATGAAAGCAGAATTTCATTTTCTACGTTGGAGTTTTCAATGATTTGTGCATATAAACGTGTAAAAAGTGAAAATATTTATTAAATATAGTTTTTATTAATTAATTGTTCCATTCCACATCCCTACAAATATTTTCCCGCACGTCCTTTGACCAATCAGAGCCGTAGTTAAATTTTAAAGTGCGCTTTGGACACGCAATATGGGAAATTCTGACTCAAAATTGAACTTCCGCAAAGCTATCGTACAGCTCACGCAGAAAAACCAGAAAATTGATGACACTGACAATCAATTTTGGGACCAGTTTTGGTATGGACATCAAACAACACTAGAAGACGTTTTTGCCTTGGTCACATCAGCAGAAATACGGAATATACGTAATGATAATCCGGCCAACTTGGCGACGTTGTGTTACAAGGCCGTTGAGAAGTTGGCCCTAGCAGTAGATAACAGTTGTCGTACGCATGTAGAACAGCAGTGTGTGTTGAATTGTGTGCGTTTGTTAATACGAATTCTACCGTATATATTTGAGGATGAAAAATGGCGTGAGTTTTTCTGGAGTAGTCTGCCCACGCGAAATACGCCCACATCTGCCGATGCAATTGAAGTGTTACGTGAAAATTCGCCACGCCTTACTGGCACACAACCTGTGCCATTGGCACAATCTTTAATCAATGCTTTATGTGATTTATTATTTTGCCCTGATTTCACGGTGACTGCAACACGTCGTGCCGGACCCGATAAGGCGGAGGAGTTGGCTAATATTGATAGTTGTGAATACATATGGGAAGCTGGTGTGGGTTTTGCGCATTCACCACCGAAAAATGCCAATATGGAAAAGCGACGCACGGAAATTTTAAAACTTTTACTCACCTGTTTTTCGGAAACTATCTACAGCTTAACGGATGAACCGAACAGGTGGATTGCGTACTTTACCTCAGCTGATAATCGACATGCGCTACCACTCTTCACTTCACTGCTGAATACAGTGTGTGCTTATGATCCCGTCGGCTTGGGCGTGCCCTATAATCATTTGCTATTTCAAGATACCACTGAACCGCTTGTGGAAGCTTGTCTGCAGATACTTATTGTAACATTAGATCACGACATGATAATACATCAACAGCAGCAATTAGAGTTGCGACGTCAAATGCAAGGTCTAACAGCAACCACAACTACACCGCCTGCAGCCAACTCATACGATGACGGTTTCGGTGATAATTTGTTTATTAATTATTTGTCACGAGTTCATCGCGATGAGGATTTTCACTTCATACTGAAAGGCATAACGCGTTTGCTTAACAACCCGCTACTGCAAAATTACCTACCAAATTCGACCAAACGCCTACATTGTCATCAAGAGTTGCTTATACTATTCTGGAAAGTATGTGACTTTAATAAGAAGTTTCTCTACTTCGTGTTGAAAAGCTCCGATGTTTTGGATATACTTATACCAATATTGTACCATTTGAACTACTCACGCGCAGATCAATCACGCGTGGGCCTCATGCATATTGGTGTTTTTATACTGTTACTACTCTCAGGTAAATTTATCTGTTGTTAATTTAATGGTGTATTAAAATAATTATATTTTTAGGTGAACGTAATTTCGGTGTACGCCTTAATAAACCCTACACCGCGACCGTACCCATGGATATACCAGTATTCACTGGTACCCACGCTGATCTTCTCATAACTGTGTTCCATAAGATCATAGCCACGGGCCATCAACGCTTGCAACCGCTATTTGACTGTCTCCTCACTATACTGGTGAACGTCTCACCATATCTAAAGACGTTGTCAATGGTGGCTAGTGTGAAGCTGTTACATTTATTAGAGGCTTTTAGCACACCATGGTTCCTGCTGTCGGCACCCAATAACCACCATTTAGTTTTCTTTTTATTGGAAATCTTCAATAACATAATCCAATACCAATTCGATGGTAATTCCAATTTAGTTTACACAATCATACGTAAACGACACGTATTTCATGCAATGGCAAATTTACCAGCGGATATGGCTGGTATCGCAAAATGCTTAAGTGGCCGCAAAGTTGGTAAGTTCAACATACCGCCCGTACCACACTCAAATGCATCACCGCATATCGCCACATTGAGTGGTGGTCGTCAATTAGATGTTGATGTAGATGATGAGGAATGTGAATCTGAAACTGAGTCGCACGATAAACAAAGCGACACACCAGGAGAGGGAAATGTAATGTCAGCTTTACCCGCTGAACCGGGTACTTTAAAGACGTCTTTGCTGGAAACACCTGCCATTAATCAAATGACAGAACGTGAGGCTGCTCATCCAAGCAGCGAAGATCCACAAACACCCACCGTTGATGGCACATCAGACATTACACAATTTGAGCAGACAGAGAATCGCACACCAACTAGTCTAAATCGTAATGATATTGCGCGTCGCAGCAATACATCGCTTAATTCAACCGAGAGCAATTCTATACCGAAAGAGCATCAAACACGACTCTCTGTGGCCACACGCGGCAGCATACGTATGGTACCGAATGCAACGGGTGATCATTGGTCACCTACACCAGAATGGATTGTATCGTGGCGTTCAAAATTACCGTTACAAACAATTATGCGTTTGCTACAGGTGCTCGTACCACAAGTGGAGAAGATATGTATTGACAAGGGTTTGACAGATGAGTCGGAAATATTGAAATTTTTACAACACGGTACGCTCGTTGGTTTGCTACCAGTACCGCATCCCATACTTATTAGAAAATATCAAGCGAATGCTGGCACAACCGCCTGGTTCCGTACATATATTTGGGGTGTTATATATTTGCGTAATGTCGGTCCGTCTATATGGTATGATACGGATGTGAAACTTTTCGAAATTCAGCGGGTATAAATTTTATAAAAGTTGTCTCTTAGTGAACGTGTACAACTATTTAAAGGTGCAATTAGCATAACAGCTGTTATTATTGTTTTGTTTTGTTTTTGTTTAGCAATCATATATAAAAACTGTGCATTCCAAAAAATGTTTGAGTTATACGGAAGCGCCTATAGTAATTATTATTTATTAATTTTAACTATATAATGCCTGAAAGTTTTATAAAATGTCCTTTTTTATTTTAGAAGTTATTTTAAAGCTTTATAGTATAGTCAGTAATAAGTGTATAATTAACAAATTCCTTAAATCTAAAGTTTGTATATAAGAAAAAATGACAATTTCATTTAAGTTTGTAATAATAAGCTGATAATGTGAAGCAAAAAATCTCTTCATAGAAGCTAGCGCTAGATGCGCTTTTAATTTATTTTATATTCTCTATTTGTTTATTTATTTTTGTTTGCAACAAAGTTAAACAATAAATAAAAAAAGAGATTTAAAAGATAATTTAGAAAAATTATGTTGGCAATACACATATTGAATTTATACTACAGTTAATACATATACATATATACATATATATATATAATGCAAAATATAATTCACGTATAATATATAAATAACTTAAAATATGCAGTTCCCTACTAAATATATACGTACATATACACTAATATATCTATAATGCAAACGAAAACCTAATAAATAACGAATAAATCAAGATTTTCTGCAAATTTAAAAAAATTGCGATTTTTTTCTCATTATCAAAAGACATGAAAGAAAGAATATATTTGTGGTTACAACAATTTTAAAATTTTTTGGCTTTTAACAACTATTTTCCGTACAATTCTAATTTTTTGATTGCAATCACAACACAAAATATCAATTTTCGTTATCGATAACAAAATACTGTGCCATCATGCGAACCGCTTTGACAGCTGTTAGTAGAAAGAAATTAAAAAACCATAACAAAAGTGAAAATCAAAAAATCTATCGCGAATTTCTCGCATCAAAATATTAATAAAAACTTAAAAAATGAATCGGCTTTTACAGAGATCAACAAGAACCTTACTCTATTCATTTGTGCACCAAAATGTGCAGTTATCAGCTTGTGTGCGTACTAAAAAGACAGGTGCCACAAGCGCACCGTCGTCTACAACACCTGCCAGTGGTGCAGGAATTACGCAGCAACAAAGTACAAATCCTTTATCCAAAATAACACTTGTACAGCCCAATCAAACTATGACGGTGACAACATTTAAGGAGGCGCAAAAATTGGCCAAACGTCGTGAGCTGCATTTGGTTAAGCAACAGGATTTCGATACAAAGACGCAACGCGCTGTTTACAAGTATGCATATTCGTAGAAAATAAATATAATCGAATAATTGTTTCAATCAATTATTGCAGACTAGTTACGGCTGCCGAAATGCTCTCTGAGGACCTGGACGAAAGCGCAGTAGATAAGAAGAGCAGGTAGCACATACGGCTATACTAAGTAGTATAGTAAATCAAGTACTTACATTTACTTTATTCTACAGCACCGAGAAAAAATCTGAAAAATCGCTCACACTTGGTTCGCGCATAACCGAACATGATTTGGGGTCACGCTTGAAACACATATCTAAATGGTTGGCGAAAAATCACGAAGTTTGCGTACTCATACAAGGTAGCCCTAATGATATTGGTAAATGCGAACGTATACTAAAAACTATTGAACAAAGCGTTGCGGAACCCGAAATTATCGGACGCATTGTGCAGAAACGCATCAAGGGTTCACATATCAAATTTAATATTTTACCCGTACCGAAGCAAACAGGTGAAACAGTGACGCAATCATGACAAGTAATGCCCGTGCTTCGGAGCCAAACATTGACCGGTGCACGGTACTACTCCACGCAGCTACTTACGCAGCGTGCAGCGCAAACAACGCTAGACGTTACTAATACTAAAAGTCTTAGTTCCTCGTTTAGTGATGAAAACAAAAAGCCAGTTATTGTGTTCGGCATTTTCACGGTTATGCTACTAGTTTCAAAATATTTATATTGGTTCAAACTGAAGAAGGCCAGAGAAGCGGAGAGATAGCTCGATGCTCGCATAATTTTATATAGAAAAGATTATTATGTTTAACCTCAAAATTTTAAATTGAATTAAGTTCAAGTCAAGTAAAAGTAATATAGGCATATGCATATGCTATATAATTTGTGTTATTTAAATTATCAGAATACCTAAGAAATTTAAAAATTGTTAGAAATGGACTAAAGATATCAAGAGGTTGAGGATCAAGAATATTCAAAATTAAGAACATCTACATAGACTAAAATAAGAAATCGATCCCAACAGCTTAGAACGCCGCTCCATTGTGGTACCTAAAACTCCTAAATAATTGATCATAAAACCCTCACACATAAATTAACAAAGCGCCTCGAGCCTATCATCAATTTGTTAAACGTCAGTTTCGGCTATGTCTACTGGTTCGCCGAATGAGGCTGCTGAGATGTTTCAACCTCAGTCTTTCAAAGACTGGATAATGGAGAAGAAAGAGCCTGGATGTTGCTACACCATCTTCCTCTATACGACCGTGCCAATTAATTCAGTAGATCTCCTCTATGCCAAAAGGATTTCACAGTCACGCAGAAGCGGGTCGTCTACCAACGCCTGCTTAGCGCACGCGAGTCCATTGGTCCAGTGCTAGAACATAAGATGACGTTAACTTAACTTAAGTCGTTCCCATTTCGATGTGAAGGGGGTACTACGTTTACTGTTACCCTAACAGTCGCCACTTCTGCCTGGTAGCCTAAAACTAAGGTAGACGGAGAAAACAGAAAACTGCTAACTCATTAATAATTTTTTAAAATGAAAATTTGTAGCTTAAGACAAATTCTTTCCGTATAAATAAAAACCAAGTCCTTTCCAGTTTTTGGATGAACCACGCCTTAGACTGCCGTTCAATATAGTAATTAATAACGAAATATAATTAAACGGAAAATAACGAGTTCGAAAATTAGCTAATGCATCAAAAACAATAATTCTTACAACTAAAACAATCACGTCTTAACTAATACCTAAATATCTAGATTTATGTTGTCGCAACGCGTTTGGTTTGTAACAGCTTTGCTTTTGTTTGCGACGCAATAAGAATTCACTTCCCGGCGGCCGACATGTCTCCTCGCACGCTTCTAAGGAGGTGAATTTATTTCGATTTCTGTCACACTTATCCGCGGTAAAGAGCATGCATATATCTTCGCAATAATTATAGAACCAGTAGTTTTTCAAGGCAATTTTTTTTGGGCAATTATAAATCTTGATAGATTGAAGGCAATAATATGGTATTTTAGCTTGTTTATTCTCGGATTCTTCATTATCATTCGGATTTCGGCGCGCATCCGGACGACGGTTTCTACCACGCCCTTTCGTTCTGCCAACATCCTCTTCTTCCTCTTCCTCTTCCTCTTCTTCCTCCTCATCCTCCTCCTCCTCGTCCTCATCTATTTCGTCATTTCGTCGCCTGCCACCGCCATTGTAGCGATTACTGTTACCAAAGCGACCCGGTGATCGGTTGTCAGTATCGTCATCTTCATTGATACCGACTTGTTCATCGGTACGCAATTCATTTGAAGCACCTTTACGCCGCCCGCCTAAATTATAACGGTTGTTGTAACTATAACGATTGGCGAAAGTATTCTTTTCATTATTTGCATCCTCCTCTTCTTCGTCTGCATCTTTTTCGTCTTCTGCTTCGTCCTCTTCTTGCACTTCTTCGCCCTCCTCATTCTCGTCCTTATTTTCAGTTTCCTGATCCTCTGCATTGATCGGTCTCCTGTAGCCGTAACGGTTACGCGAACGACCTTGTTGCCTATTACTAAATCCTAGCTGTTCTAGCTTTTCTTGTTCTTCCTCCATTTCATTTTCATTTCTAGCTGTTTTCGCATCATCCTTGTCAGCCTCGTTTTCCTCCTCAGCTTCAGTATCATCTTCATTATCTTCCTCTTCCTCCTCGTCTTTTGCTTCATCGTTGCCTCCATCTAAGTCCTCGTTTTTCTCTACCTTATCAAAGTCATATTCGCCGTACCTATCGCGGTCTCGCATTCGATTTAATCGTCGTTCTGTACGCCCACATTCTTCACCCATACAAGTGCGATCTTGCCGTGTTTCCACCTCACACTTGAAAATGTCGGCCAAATCCGGCTGTTTGTAAACGCGCGTGCGAAATTGCCGACCCTCACCACATTTAGATGTGCACTCGGTCCATGCAGTCCAAGGATGGGTGAAACATTCACGCGGTACGTCCAGATTGTTGGCTGTAAGTAGGTAAAAAAATTATCTAAATAATGCTCCAAAGCTATCTACAAACTTACATTCCTCATCCTCACACAAACGTTCGTAAAGCCTTTGACGTTTAATATCTAATATTGCCAGAGGTTTCATTTTACCCCCTTTATCGTCGAAAAATGGTGAGCGCGGATCATTTGGCATATCGGAACGCATACGTTGTATAACAGCGGCTGGAATTTGTGGCTGATCTGGTGACTAGAAGTGATAACTAGACAATCACATAAATATTTTGTGAAATAATATATGCTAGAGTTACCGTATACGATGGTCCCGCATCGGTGCCGACATCCCACGGATATAATGTGACAGTTTTCCGTTCTAACCACGTGCAATTGCTCATGCAGAGCTCTAAGCCAGAGACACCGACAATCCAATCAGGCGATGGATCGATTTTAGAAGCTAATGATAGTAGATGATGTTGCGGATCTGCACGTATGGAAGCCACAGATTGCCCGTTCAAGTTGGGAAAAGCGGGACCACGCGCCTTAATAATGGTGCGTATTTTGCCTTTCTAAAAAGAATGGAATAGTGTCAATAGCAACCAACAATTACATATACATTTTACTGACCTTAAAGTTATAGCTGAACTCGCGCTCCAACGTTTGCGCCGCACCATGCTCCGCAAACTCTTTCATACCTTGACTGGCCAGTTGCGCATATTCCCAGAAGCGATAATCCTCCGTATGCGAGGCGCCTATAATATCACTGAAACGTGTTATCCAACCCTTTGTAGGGAAATCTTTCGGATGATGATTGCGCGACCAAGTGCTCTTGAATGTGAGCTAAACAGAAATTTACCACTTAACTAACAGCTTGACAACATAGCACATTCATTATCTACCCACCTCATAGCGCGCTTCATCGCAAGCGCAACATTTATTTTGATTCTCACTCAGCGGCGCACTTTCCACTTCGTCGGTGCTCTCTTCACAAATGGAGCGCGTTAGGCCACCATCATCCATGTACCAAACATCACGATGTTGCAACAGTGTAGTGCGTATAAGTATGCAACCGCTACCTGGTTTGTCTGGCGCCACCCACATGACATCGATGCGCGTCTTTGGATTCGTATTTGTACTCTCCACCATATTTACACAATTCGGACTGTAGCGTGTCTCTACCGGATCTATCAATTCGAAATGTCCAAGATCTTGTGTTAAGCTCGGGTTGCCATCTTTACTCTCTAGCGCAAGTTTGAAGCTAATAAAGCGCAGACCACTGTAGGCTTGAATTGTGACTGTGTGTTGGTGAGAAGTTGGAGTGGAAAAAAGTATAAGCACGAGTATAAAGATAATTTTTTGTACTAGTTGAGAAAATTCGTTCACATCAACGACATTGTTGTATTTTCAGTGCAACGATTATTTATTAATTTGTCAAGTGAAAGAAACCGTAACGCTATGCTTAATAATTAAAACTGGTTGCGTAGGCATCTAAAGATTGTGGCTCCGTTGCTGGAACTAGAGAATTCAGTTAAAGGGTCTCACGAACTCTACAGTTGGAGACTCAAAGAAAAGCCTTGACTAATGTTTCATACTCGGAATATAAATTTCCTTTACGGCAATGCATTTTACCCGCTTTCAGCTTGAAAGAAGAAGAGTGAGAAGATTCAAAAGCGAAGGCGCTGGCCTTCTATTGGCAATTGAAACCAGCTTGAAGTGAAAATACACAGTGCACAAGGGCACTGACTTTCACACAGATATTCGCGTACAAATTCGGAACGAAATCTGTTAGGCATTTAAAGCGCCAATTAAGAATGTAAAGTTCTAGAAAGCACTTTGTTTATAAACAAAAAAAATCGCGTTCCGCAAAATACATGCATAGCTTTTGTATGCATTGTATTTTATAATCAAACGAATTGATTAAGAGCCCTTGATTTTTCTGGTGTGTCAGAATTATAGTAATTGATTTATTACCTCACCGTAAGTATGTATATAAAAAAGTACAAATGTACGGAAATTTATTTGTTTAGAATGTTAAACGAGGATGGTTGGATAAGTTCTTATTTTTACGAACCAAAATCAATTCATAGCGTTTTTCATGCTTAAAGTCCTTAGAAAGAAATATTTTTGCAAAGCAAGCTGAATCTTCATGCCATGTGGCAAGAACCCTTTCTTTGCTTTTCTTTCGCTAAATCTGGTCGTCCACCTTGAGCGTTGCAACGATTCGTCTTTGGCGGATAGTATCATCCTGAGCTTCTAAGCTGGGAAAACAACAAATACGTTCACAATATTTTCGATTCATTGTGTTTTAGTATTATGGGTACTAAGCGAATGGTTTTTTATCCGACAAGCGTAGGTCTCCAGATAGCTGTAGATCACTAAACTGCTTCTAAGTGAGATCGCAAGATTACGCTCATAACCGAGTTCCATACAATTAATGATATCCAATCAGCTGAGATACCTGCCATCTTAGGCAGCTTAAGTACTTTGATTTCTGAATTATATTGGAAAAATTAAGGCCTAACGACGGTACTGGCTAACTGAACTCAGCAAAATTTAGTAAACCATTTTTAAAACTAAGTATTTAGGCAGCTACTCATATGTCGGAATCTCCGATATCGGATCACTATATCATATAGCTGTCATATAAACTGATCGATCTAAATCAAGTCTTTTTATGGGAAATCTTTTTATTTAACAAGATATCTTCACGAGATTTGGCACAGCCAAGGCAACACTATAATCTTCAAACAAATTGTTCAGATCAGACCACTATAGCATATATTTAGCTGCCATATCAACTGACCGATCAATATCAAGATAAATTTGTATTTATACCTTTTAATGCTATAAGAAATGCACCTGTGAAGGGTCTTACAGCTGCGGTGTAGTCGAAGTTAACGTTTTTTGTTTTCTTGCTCAAACTTTTCTTGGCTAGAGGGAGTTTGTTTTTTCTTAGCAATTCTAAAAACGAGTAACTTAGCTCACTACTCCCGTAATACAACCTTCTAACAAATATATAGTATTAAATAAGCGGCGTCTACGCCAACCAATTCTAGTACGCGATTGATAAGCCAGAGTTTAGACTCCAATAATACATAGCAACTGTTTTGTATAACGGTGCATATGCGTATACAATATTGTTTTGCCATTGTACAATAAATATTTCTATTCCGTAATTTTGAAGTTCAATGTCTTTCCTATCAAGTCTGATAATGTCAAAGCCAAATTTCAATACTCACTAACACTCATACAAAGTATTGATTATTTTTTATTGTTGTTTGTTTGCTAAACACATGACTTGACCGGATATTTGTCAAACACTTCAACCGCCGGCACTCACCGTTATATGTTTGTCCCAAAATATAAGTTTGCGGATTGCCACTAATTGTGACCAAAAAATTCTCATCTACCGGCGATTTGTTCGTATTCGTATTCATCGGATAACGGCTACATATTATCGCCCCCGACTGCTTGACGGCTATAAGTAACAGAACGTAAATGGCTTGGAGCCACAGCATTTTCACGGAAACTGTTGTTTATGCGATCGAATTGAAGAGTAAACTGAATGTTAAGCTCGACTCGCTTGCTGCTGAGAGCGTTTCGAATGCAGATTGTGTTTTTTGCAAAAACAATTGATGATAAGTACACAGTGGTGGTCAGTAAAATAAGGACCAAACAAAAAAAAATGTTGGAAGAATATAAGCGAGAGTTTTCAAAAGTGGCCGATGCTTTAGCCTGACATAGTTCCACAACTAGTATAATATAAAATTGGCAGATGCCGATCGATGTTATTATTCCTATCCACTGAAATAGTTTGATCACCATTGGACGATGTAGATCAGTTGTCTAACGAGTGATCTTCAAACTTAAGCTTTATATATATTTTGTATAAGCGCTAAAAAAAAGGAACCAAGGCATAAGCAAGCCAAACCTTTTTCGAGCTCCGGTCGTTCTATGTTATTGATGTTGCAACAGCATAAAACATATCCCAGAATATTTTCGAGTATGCTGCTAGAGCGATAGTCTTTGAATAAACATAATGCATGTTCCCTTCCGGTTCCGTGGACACGCTTGTCGTGGCAACTGTTCACACAGTTCGTCGTCCAATTATTAAAAAGTACCAAAGTAAATGCCGTTCGCGACTTTGGTCATTTCTGTAAATCATCTTAAGGAGTAAGGGGGTTGGGGAAAGCAACTGAATTATAATAAATGGGGATGGCAAGAAAGTCATTGGTGAAAAGTTTCTTTGTAGATCAAATAACAAGATAAAGCCTGGTTCGATCGCGCTATGCCGTCTTTGATTAATGTTATTTTGAGCCAATGAACCACAGAGAATCGAAAACTTGTATACATCTATCAGCTCTTCGACATAAGTTTGTATTAAATAAAAAAGTCTCGAAAATAAGTGCTTCAAATTCCATTTTAGTTTTTATTGCAACTTCGTTAATGACACAAGATATTGTATTCGACTTTTCTGCCCATCACTGTACTATTCAATTAAAATCTTATACAAAATAAGAGGGACCAGTATTGTTGATTAGGCGATAGCTTGGCGGCGTATCAATGAATGGCGCCACTAAGCGGTAGTTTAATTCGCAAGCAAACTATTCTAGTATTTGTAGTATTCAGTAGCTTCAAAAAATAACTAATACATTTTTTGCGAAAAAATACTTATCTCTAAAATGAGTAAAGAAGAAATTTGAAAAAATAAACAAACACGCATGATTTTGTATTCTTGCTGCATTTATATTAGTTTTGAAAACGAGTTTCAAATATCTACAAAAAATATTTGTTGGCATACCGCATACCTAATTTCTCATATATGAATATATTATATAATTGCATTTACTTTCTAATCAGCTAAACATTTCACTTATGCGAGTAGTTCCTTATATTACCGACGTAATCTTTTTGCTTACGTTTACGATTCTTACGTCCGCTCTTCTTTTTCCGTTTCTTCACCAATGATGCCGACTCACCAAATTGCCGACTCCAGCGATTGTCATTATCCTCATCCTGACCTGGCTGACTTAAATAGAGACTGTGCGGCAAAAGACAGGTACCTTCGCATGCCGACAGCGTTCTGAATTTATTTTTATTTTCATCACAATTATTAGTGGTGAAAATTTGGCATTGGCGTTCATCCGCGTCGTAAAACCAGTAATTACGAAAACCTAATTTAACGCGATCACAACGCGTTGTTTTTACATAGGGTTTTTCAAAACAAAATCGTTGTAACACATCGTAATTGTTTGGATCACTGGCTCCCACGAAGATAGCTTTATGTCCATCCTCATCGTAAACTTCACGTAAATTAGAGTTGTTGTCTTCAGCGTCTTTCTCATTGTTGCGTTCGTAAAAATCATAGCTTGTTGCACCGCCGCTATAACGATTTCGCTCACGACCACGCACAAAGCCGCCACGATTGCCATATCGGCGATTGTAAGCATCGCCAGCATTCAGTTCATTGTCGTTCTCTTCACCTTCCTGCTCGTATTTATTGTCAATTTGCATATTATCATCTTCTTCACCTTCAGCTGCCTGATCAAAATTATCGTTTTCACCCCAAACTGTTTGGCGTCCGTTGTAGAGTGAATTCGTGCGCCTGTTTGGAAACTCCGGGCGACGACGTCCAAACAATTCTGGCTGTGGCAGGCGATTAGCATAGTCAGCAGCATTTTCTTCGTCTTCGTTAACATTAATCTCTTCATTGCGCTCAAGATCTTCCACACCTAAGTTATCATTGTCATTTTCATCGACGTCTTCATCGCGATCTTGTTGTGTACGCCTAGCACCGCAGTCACGAGCGTCACAATCTCGCCTTTGCTCTAGCTCTACAGGGTTGTCGTTCTGCAAAGTTATACAATATTCAAAAAATTTAATTGTTTACTCTGTTATTTGCACTCAACTCACCAAGCATTGCTCACGTTCATATGGATTAAGATACTCACGGCTGCGTGTCATGTGCCCACGTCCACACCGTCTTGAACATACGCTCCATGTCGACCAGGGTGTCAATTCGCAACCGGCTGCTTCAGTTTCATCGGGCTCTACGTCGGGTATACGACATTGTTCGCCTATGCACTTTTGTGCCTGTCTCAGCACTACTTGACAACTAAAGCTAGCCGCCAAGTCGGGATCTTTATATGCGCGCGTACGGTATTGTGTACCGGGTCCGCAACGTGTTGTACACTCACTCCAAGTGCTCCATGGGTGTGTGGCACATTCTAATGGCATGACTTCACCTGCAATTGGAGGACAGTAGAAGAAATGATTAAAAACATAGTGGCTGAGAAATTTCTTTGCTACTGTTATGACTTTTGACATACCCGAATCACATTCGCGTTCATACAACTTCTTGCGGCGTACATACAAAGTAGCCAACGCTTTCATTGGTTTGCCAGTCTCCTCATAAAATGGCGAACGCTGATCATTCGGTGAGGTGGAAGTTATGCGACGCACCACGTCTGGTGGTTTTTGCGGCTGATCTGGCGACTACATACACATTTTAACTACAATTTGTACCATCACATGGCAAATGTCCATTTAAACTTACCATATAAGATGGACCAGCATCGGTGCCGATATCCCAAGGGTATAAATTTAACACTTTTTCATTAACCCAAGTGCAATTCTCCAAGCACAACTCCAAACCGGCAACGCCTAAAATCCAGTCGGGCGAAGGTTCAATTTTCGAGACCAATGAGATGACATGGTTTTCTCGATCTACGCGCACATTAGCTAACGTGGTGCTGGCAGTATTTTGGCGATATATAATGCCCGGTGCCTTAATAATCGTGCGTACATTGCCGCTCTGCAATATAATTGATCACTTATCTTACTTAAGTTATGTGGTTACAAAGCGTCACCTTGATTTCCATTTCCAGCAGACGTGTGGCGCCATGTTCCGCCATCTCTTGTAGGCCACGGCTCGCGAGCTCACCATATTGCCAGAAACGGTAATCTTGCGTATGCGATGCACCAATGAGCTCACTGAAACGTGTGCGCCAAGATTCTGCGGGAAAATCATGCGGATGTGTATTGCGACCCCATTTGCGCTCCACAATCAGCTGAAAGCCAGAAAAAAAGCCAACACGTTTTGATTAGTTTTTGTTTACAATAATTGTTTGCGTGAAACGCGCACTCTCATCTCGCTTTATCACTATTTATTTTGCTCTCGTGCAATTTACTATTCGCTTGTTTATATTTTTTTACACCACCACCCACCTCGTATTTTGCCTCATCACACGCGCAACACACATCCAATGCCGGCGTCTGACTGTTCACTTCATCAATCTCTTCCGCACAAATGCGTTTCGTAAGAAAACCGTCGTCTATATACCAGACACTACGGTGTTGCAGTACCGCCGCCTTGATGAGTACACAACCGCCGTTCGGCGCCACCCAACCAACGCTGACACGTACTTTTGTATTCGCATTTGTACTTTCGATCATATTCTCACACTGCGTACTGAAACGCGTCTCGGCCTTGTCGATGAGCTCAAAGTAGCCGACAGTGTCGGGCGTAGGGCGTATATTATCATCTTCACTCTCTACAACCAGCGTGAAGCTGAGAAATTTGAGAGCAACGTCAACAGATAAGCTAACTAAAAGATTTTTAGATTAAATGAACATTATTTAGGAAATACCAAAACATATATATACATTTTTTGCACTCACTATTATAAGACTGTCCTGGTATATAGGTCTTTGGATTGCCTTCGATCAACACTTGAAAGTTCTCATCGACCGCGGAGCGTTCATCCGTAGCACCTTGCGGTCTGCGATCACAGATTTCCCAAGAGTCGCGTATAAATAGGAACACGAACAACAAATGTAACCACGTGAGCATGGCGCACACGATTTCACCTTAGCGCCAAAACTGATCGCGTATATTGACTAAGCTTAGGAAAATCCAGTAACGGAAGTGAATTCAAAATTCCACAATGACTTGCCTAAATTTTTTTGTTCCGCACGTAGTGAAAGCGCCGCAGTAAATGATGAACTGCTGCGAATAGTGAATTGAGCTAGGTCCAAATTGGTGTGGCTTCGGAGAGCATCTGTCGTGCACGCTCTATCCCGCAGCGCCTTCAGCCACAGCCAGCAGTATTGTTGACGAAAAATACATATTTTTTTTAACTTTTAATTGTCCGGCGACCGAAATTGTGTCATAAGCTTATCACTTATACAAAAAAAAATAATTGTGTAGTAGCGCCTTTGACGCGTTGAAGCTTACTCACGCAGTTCCCTCTAGCAGACATTTGTAGAATGCTTATAAGTAATTAATAATAAAAATAGAAAAATTATAGCGAAGCCTTAATGAATTTGTGGGCTTGCGAATATATTTTCGGCATGCGTTATGATCAGTGGCTCAGCTTCAACGGCTGCTTATTGTCTAAATATAAGTTAGCACGGTAGCGGTTCTTTAACAGCGCTGAGAGAAATCTAGAATTTCGGGCGCCGAAAATTCTTTAGCGAGCATCTCTTCTCTTCTAAAGTATAACGCGCAAGCTGATCTTGATCATGAAATCGGAATGATACTGAGGATGAGGTCTTTTTACCTTCCCGCAAGAAACAACTACAAAAAGTCGGTCAACTACCGCATACGATCATATATGTACAATACAAGTATATGCCATGGTGGTTCGCGAGTTCAAAACTAGCTGTGACAGCAGTAATATATCGTCCGAACAAAATATTTTTCAGGATAGCTTGGAAATTCTTATTATACACATATATCGACCGCTTAGTAGGAGTCTTAAAATCATGAGTTTCAGATTTGTCGGAAACTGTCGAGTTTTCAAACCATCGTCTTGGCGCTCATATAATTTCTAGATATGTATGTTAGATCGTCAAGAGGAGCGCGACATTAGGAATAGATCTTTATTATTATTTTATATAATGCCACTAATGAGATTTGAACTGGCGGCCTACCGTGTGTAAGCCACGCGCTTAACCACTTGCCGCGTCACACAATGCGCTTCCAACCACTTAATTTTCATTAGTCGCTCATTTTTGAAAATTATTTTGCGGCGCTTACATCAATTGAGCGGCAGTATATATTCAATTATACTTGTACATAGCGTACAAACTGTTGCTGTCTACAAATGTTGTGCGTTGTTAAGAACTTGACATCAAAGCTCCGATCGCGCATATTTGTTGAAGATGGCAAGAACTACTTGATGTTATTAATGAATAATGAATAATACGAAAAGTTATAATAGCAAGGGGTGATGAGATTTCCTATACATGAGGAAGCGCTACAACCTCCAATAGGGATGAAACATGAATTGCAAACGCGCTGGACTCAACAACAGAGACGACGTTTTTAGATACTGATGCGGTAGTAAGAAAATGATTTCTGAAAGTTAACTAAACCTTATCTATACTATAAAAAATTTTGATCTGTAACATAGTGAGATGCATATAAAATTATAGATATATTTTAGTTCACTACCCAAAGAGTAGTATTCCAAGAATATGAATGGCTAGAGCGGAATCAAAGGTCAATAAAATCATTGGATAGATCTCCAAAGCTTGAATATACGAATACATATCTCGCGAGGTTTTTTTTTAAACTAAACTCTTTATTATGTTAAACAAAAATCGATTTGTGGGATCTACTACATATTTGAGTATTTCGTTAGATATTTATAACATATAACTACATATTACTAACACAAATTTATCTACGTTACAGCACTAGTAAAAGCACGTGGATTAAATATAGAGTTTATAGTTCTCTTGGGCAAATAATTTAAAAGAGCATTCTTTTGCTTCTACCGTTTTTTCACCAAAACTCGTCTTTCTACCACTCACTATCCTGATCGTTACTCTCCAAGAGACACGGCATTACGGTACATTTCTCCACACGCACACGATCCTTACATCTGTAGCTGATTTCAGTGTTGAGCAGAGTTCTTGTCTTCTGACGCATGGAATTGTCACCGCAACTCGCGGTGCATGGCGTCCAAGCCGTCCACTCCGAGTAGCGACAATCGTCCTTCTTCGCCACCTGTCGTGCGCTCACATAAGTGCCACGATTGCGATTTACGGCATCATAGTCGCTAGGATCATTAGTGTTGCCACCGAAATTAATGCCGCCGCTAATTGTGTACACTTCATCGCAGCTTTGGTAGCATTTCTCCAAACGCACTAAGTGTTTGGGACACGGTTTGCCACCGTATTTTGCGCGTCGCAGTACGCGGCGCGTTTTTATTAACATACCCTCGCCGCAGGTCACATTACATGGACGCGCATCCCATTCGGAGACGATGCAATCGACCGGTTGTTGCTCCAAACGTAAACTCTCACTTTGCAAATCCAATTTTTGACGTGGACGCCGACAGGTTTCCTCACACTCTTCCTTCGAGGGAAACTTATTTTGATTCTTGTCACATTTATCAGCCCAAAAGATGGCGCATTGATCGGTGGGGTAATCGTAGTACCAATAGTTGGTAACTTCGCCATCGCGACATGGACTAATCTTGAGATTGGCATAACAAAAGTGTGGCACGATAGTATCGCAGGCTGGGTTTGTGCAATTAACAATTTCCTCACGTTTAATATGACGACACGGATTGCTACCATCCGATTTGGGATTCACCACACCGTAAACCTCATCGTTGTTCCAGATTTTACGCTGTCTTTGACGATAACCAACGCTGCCGCAAGAGCCTATGCATGGCGAGAAATCAGACCAAGGTGAAACGCCGCATTCAGGTGGTATGTAGTCCTCACGCTTCTGACTATAGCTTTTGAATTGGCGAAAACCATTGTTGTTATCGCCATAAAATGAACTTGTGCCCTCGCTCAATTCATTCTCCACAGCATTGCCTTCTTCGGCTGCAGCTTCATCACCTTCACCGTTAGCCTCAGCTTCAGCACCAGCATTTGCCAGATCGCCACCACATTCAGGGCCTTCGCATTTGCGCGTCTCCTGTAGACGCACCCTACTCACTTTCTGTTAAATAACACAGCATTTTATTTATTGTATTTTTTTATCAAAGCTTGTTCACGCTAACCTGACACTTCTTTTTCGCACGCGGATTGAGATAATGACGCGTTCGCACTATGACGCCGGCACCACAAGTGGCCGAACAACTAGACCACTCGCTCCAGTCCGATATCGCGCATTCGGGATTTTCATGTGGACCAATTTGTATTTCATCTGGATTCTCACCTTCCTCTGTGTTTTCTTCATTTGTACTGCCGCATCTGCGACCATTACAGGGTTGCTCCTCACGTAAGGCGCTGCGACATTTCGAACGTCTTGCCACTGCGGGTTGCTTATACTCGCGTGTACGTTGCTGTGTGCCTGGTCCACATTTGGCGCTACACTCACTCCAATGACCCCAAGGATATGTGGCGCATTCCTCAGACTCATCCTCTGTTTCGACACAGCAAGACATTTATTTTGATTATATGAAAGATGAAATTAAGTAAAAACTCACCTTCTGGTTTTTTACACGTCTTCTCATACAATCTACGCCGATTTATATGTAGTGTAGCAAGCGGTTTCATTGGTGCGCCAGTGGGATCATAGAAAGGTGAGCGTGGATCATTTGGAAAATTCGATTTGATGCGTCGAATCACGTCAGGCGGCACTTGCGGCTGATCGGCGGACTGAAAGTAAGCCATACATTGCTTATGTATTTAGTCTAATTAGGCTTATTTAAAACTAACCATGTAGGAGGGTCCGCTATCTGTGCCCGCATCCCATGGATAAAGATTGTGCACTTTATTCTCGACCCATGAGCAGTTGGCTAGGCAAAGCTCTAACCCAGATATGCCAACAATCCAATCTGGTGACGGGTCTATCATGGACACCAGTGATATTACATGATGTTTCGAGTCCACGCGAAAAACTGCGAAAGTTTTACCCGTCACATTCGGATAGGAGATGCCGCGCGCTTTAATGATAGTCCTTATCTGGTCACTCTATGTATGAAAAAAGCCAAATGTTTACCACTTCCAGCATTGACAACTAACAAACTAAACGTCTTACCTGATCCTTCAACTCGCTCTCCAGCGTTCGGGTTGAGCCATGTTCAGCGACTTCGCGCAGACCTTCACTCGCCAACTCACCATAATTCCAAAACCTATAATCGATAGTGTGTGAAGCGCCAATAATATCGCTAAATCTGGTGCGCCAACTATTGGCGGGGAAGTCCTTAGGATGTGTGTGACGTGACCACTTGCCCTCGAAAGTGAGCTTTTGTAATAATAAATAGAAAAATTAAAAGCAATTTGCTATTAAGTATTTTCAAATATAGTTACCCACCTCATACTTCGCCTCGTCACACGCACAACAAGGATCCATTATAGTCGGTTGTGTATCAACGTCATCAACTTCTTCCTCGCAAATGCGTTTCGTTAAAAATCCATCATCCATAAACCAGACATCGCGGTGCTGCGTCACAGTGGCCTTGATGAGCACACAACCATTGCCAGTAGTTGACGGCGCCACCCAAGTTACTTCCACACGTGTCTTCACATTCGTATTGGTGTTCTCCACAAGATTTGGGCAACGCGGACTGAAACGTGTTTCTGCCAAATCGGTAATCTCAAAATAGCCCAATCTACCAAAATCCGACTGACCGTCAGCCTCACTGGCGCTCTCCAAAGCCAATATGAAGCTGATGAATGACAGATCATTGTAGGCGGTGAGCGTGACTGCGTGTGCACATGGAAAAAGTTGTTAGTAGCATTAACATTTATATACAATTTCTAGTAGTCATACTATTGTACTTCTGCCCCGGTATATATGACTGTGGGTTTCCGGCTATCGACACCATGAAACTCTCGTCGACTGGTGATTTGGGCGACGTTGTGCCCGGCGGTACGCGGCTGCAGCCTAGCGCTATGTTAATTGTCGCCGAAATGGAAATTATCAATGCTAACCAATTCATTTTTCTCCACTCGATTCGGCTTTGAATTGCAATGGGTGTCACTTTGCTTACCAGAGACTT